GGACATTGACGTGGCCGAGTGCAAACGCTGCATTCGTCGTATAAGCAAGCGGGTGAAGCAGCGCCGTGCACGGCTCCGCCACAACTCAAAGCACCGCACACAACGGCAATCGTTCAACAGGCCACAATGGATTTCAAGTAACATGGAAGACCTACGGCAGGAGCATCTGGTACGGCTAGGTCAACACCTTGTCCGATCGACAGATCGGTTAAGATGGATCTTTAATCGAGTGTCTGATTGGGAACGCGACCACCACGTCACAGGCATACAACACCAGCACGGTCCAGCATTCACCAGAAACATGTCCATTGCGGACAAATTCGCATCCGAATGGTCGCCAGTGCTCGGAGTCATTCATCGGAAACAGCCTCTTCATGGTTCAAACGCGGCCATTCAGCAATTCGTACACATTCCGACAGAGCGAGTTATTTCGAAGGCAGCCAACGCGGCTCTTTTAGCTGAATTTTCTGAAGCCGAGGCTCTCACAGCCATTGCAGGGCTTAGCCGTCGAAAATCCGCTGGTCCAGACGGTCTCAACAACGATTTTTTTAAGGATACGACGGCTCTGATGGTCCCCGCTCTTGTAAGGTTTAGCAATAAGATTCTGACCGGCGCGGATCCTCCACCCTCTTTTCTAGAGGCCCTGATCATACCACTGAGGAAAAAAGGTGATTCGGCGGATGCGATGGACTACCGACCTATTGCCTTGCTCCAATCAAGTTACAAGATATTTACCAAGGTTTTAGCGACCCGATTACAACGTGGATTGCCCACAATTATTGGAGATTCGCAGCAAGGTTTCGTCCACGGCAGGCAGATGCACAAATTAGCGATGATGATGCTTTCTCAACTAGCGACGGCTACAACGGACGACACCCTGACAGCCATGAACAGTAGGGTCATTCTCTTGCTGGATTTTCGCAAAGCCTATGACACTGTTGACAGGGAATTTCTCTAAGAGGCTCTAACGACTTTTGGCTTTTCTGAGAGATACGTACAGCTAATCCGTCGGCTTCATACAGGAACCACGGCGACCTTCTTAGTCAACGGAGAACAATCCGACCCATTCCCAGTGGTGTCGGGTATTCGTCAAGGCTGTCCTCTCGCCCCTCTGCTTTTTCTACTCGTAGCGGAGTTACTGGGCATCGCGATACAACAATCGCCCGTCTTGCGAGGGCTTCCAGTACCAGGGGGCACAGGGGGTCGGCACACGTTTTCAGCGTTTGTGGATGACTCGACGATTTTTCTAGATAAAGCGTGTCAGCTTGACCAGGCGCTCGGGATAGTTTCTCATTTTGGAAATTTTGTCTCCGCTGGTCGCTCAGCCGGCCAAGAGCAAGCTGATATTTCTCAACAAAGAGGTGCGCTTACCTACGTTCTGTGGCATATCAGTACTTCAACCTGTGGATACAGTGCGGTACTTGGGCTATGAAGTAGGAACAGGCAACCTACAACATCGTAATTGGGCGCTTCGCATCAGGAAGATTCAACGACGATTGTTCACGGCTTCCACGATTGCTTCAAGCGTGGAAAATCGAGTGATGGTCTTAAATTCCATTATCCTACCAGCAATCCTGTTCACGGCTGCGGTTTTCGAAATTCCTGACTGGGCGATCAGGGACGTACAAAATTTGTATAAACAATTTCTGTGGGCACACGCAACCACCACAGAAGCGGGTCGTCACAAGATCAATCCGGGTCTCCTCTTTACTCCGACTAAGGCCGGGGGAGTAGGGCTCGTCTCGGTCGAGGTTGCTATTAAGACACAGCGCACTAAACACGCTCTCCGGTGGCTCACGCAAGCTCACGACAAGTATTTTGGAGTGTGGCGTTTTTGGGCTTATCAGGGTCAGCCGACTACTTCAGCACTTGTTTTTTACGAACGGCCGCGGTCAGGGGGGTGGCCAACCTCTTTGTCAAAGCCGGCCAAAACTTCATTCATAGCGGACATCGACAAGCTCCTGGAGCCTACAGACGACCAATTAAGCCTGTTTGGAGACCGGGTACGTGCGTACACACCAACTCTACTCGCCGGTGCAGGAAGCTGGTGGGAAGAGGATGAATGGGTTCTGTCTTATTACTCGACCTTCCCTGAAGCATTATCACACACGAATCCCCACTTGAGATCTATTCATCAATTCTGGGGGACGCTTGGATGGAGCAAGAATCCGTATATCCGGGATGCACGGGGCAGGCAGTTGCTCGGCTGTACGTATGACCGGATCGTACCATGCACCATCTCGGATCTGCGTATTAGACAGACGGGGCCGTCCGAGTTTGTTTTCAGCATACCACTGTCCGGACAGCACGTCACCAATCATTCGCAACCCAAGCTACGACGATGGGCAACAGCGATATTACTGGCATCCCCACCTTTTCGGTTCGGAACTGATTTAGCGCTCCAGCCTCGGTTGACACTACGACACGCTCCTCCTTTTCGGTATGACTATGACTGGTCCTCCGAATGCCGGGGTCGTATATCTGGAGTGAGAAGGGGTCACAAAGTCCCAGAGGCAGCTAAGGTTCACCTGACGCAGGCGGCCGACGGGTTTCGCTGGTTCTGTACAACAAGGCTTCCTGAACTAGCGACGGATAGTGAAGTGGAAAGGGCAACATGGCTTGAACAACTTCAGCAGCACGGCGTAGTGTTTAACGCTCATCCTCGACATCATCGATTTCCATGGGCGGTCGCAGATGAGGTGCTAAATGCATCCATTCGCACAACACTCTCCCGTATGTCATTTAAGCTTCACAAACGTCAGCTTGCTGTGGCATTACGTCCACTGCTGCAGCGTCTGGAAGCTGCCACCAGAACGGACGCATGGCAGCAAGCTGTAGCGCACCAGCGACCTTCTCAAGTTTGGGACCATGCACATGGGCTCACAGAATACCAGGTGTGGACTTGCTATCGTATAGCAACCATGCAACTCAACCTTTACCATGAAAATCGCAACGACGACAATAGTTGTCGCGTACATCAAGCATGTCGAGGGGTTCAAGAAACACAGGCCCACATATTCTGGGATTGCCCGAAGGCGCGTTCGTGTTGGGCAAAATTAATTGGTCATTGGACCGGTGAAACTGCGGCAGACCGATTTGGTACTCGCCAATATCTTGGCAGTGTCAATCGTCAAGCCCCAGCTATCTCACCACGGTTGAGACAACGGTTGCTTAAACGGTTCATAGAAGACGTCGAGGCAGGAGTCCACGTCTGGAAACGGATTTGGTTTCTTATGAGTACCATGTGCCTCACCCACTTATGGCAGGAGCGAAACGATGCGGTATTCAAGGGAGTCCTGACTACGACATTGCATAGTGTTACCCGTTTTTGGGAGTCAGGGATACGCCAACTCCTAGCGCTGGCCAAACGCGAACATCGCGGTATTAGTACTGTCGTGCAAGGGGATCTCTTGCACGCCGGCATCGAACGTTTTATCCAAGCACCTCGAGACATCGAGGCTTCTCTGGGTCATAGTCACGAAACTCTTCCGGATCCGGACTTGATTTCCTGGCTCAGGAGCTTTCAGACATCTTGTACATAATCACGTGTTAATAGACAGTCATGAAATCTCTCTCTCTCTCTCTCCAAATGATCAGCAAATCATGGTTTATATCCCCCGACAATCTTGGATAGCCTTGAAACCGGGGCTTTGGGCAATCGAACTCAATCAGCATCGAGCACAGTGGCTTGGAGTTAAAAATAAGTCGCAGAAGCCTGTGACGTCGAGGCCCGCATTGTATGGCCTTTTGCCAGTGCATGATCGTGCGTATCGGGGCGCCTCCCGTATTAGACGCTGAGCACATCCAAACAAATCCAGCCGGACAGGTCGCATATGGAAGGGGACCGTTGGCCAATAATGGCAGTATTTGTTGAGTAAAGGGTGCTGCAGTGGATATTCGACGACGCCGGTGAGACACAATAGGGACGTGGTAGAATCTGCACCATTGGAGAAGAGAGTTGGCACGTCGGCGTGGGTGGGTAGGTCAGACTAGGCCGCTGCAAGGAAATACGTTGACCATAGAAAACTACGGAGAGAGAGAGAAACAGACCGTCTATTTTACCCTTAAGGCTTACAAGATGTATGAAAGACCCTCAACCTCTTGAGGACGCATGGAAGTGAATCGTGTCGCCGAGAGAGGTTGTCTAGTACCGTCGTCCGATGTGTGACGGTATCCAAAAACAACTCGGTCACTGGTTGACAGAAGGAGCCATCTGTCTGATCCCCGCCATGCCGTAGTTTCTTCAGCGCAACCGCGCGCAATTGATTAGCCAGGATGTGTCGCACTTCAGCAACAACTTGTTCCGGCGTCATCATGTACTGTTTGTGGACACTCCGATTCCTCTGAATCCAGAGCGTTGTGACGCAGACCGAGCAAGCAATCCACCAGATCCTTTTCCACGTTTGCATGACGCTGTCAGCGTTGTCGGGAAACCTGCGCTCTATGTCCGCCCGTGCTGGGACGGGTTAAACATCCCCAACTGAAAGACTACCTGTCCCGAAGTCTATCCCCAACTACACAAAGACATATAATCAGTTATTTTTGGGTCGTAATTTGTGCTCGTCTTGACAGATGGCAAAACGACAGCGGTACATAGCCTTGCGTCTTGCGATCAATACAAATATATGTATATTAATATGTATAGATCTATATATGTAAATGTTTATATAAAGGCTCCCCACACACACCAGTGCTAAACGTTACGTCTTAGCGTTTGGAAACAAACACCAAGAAATACGAGCTAAACTACGGCACTGACGTGAGACAAGTTCAATCCAAGGTGCTGCATTGACGGAAGACAAGTACGAGTCAAGGGGCTACACTAACGTAATACAGGTTCGATCCAAGGTGCAGCACTGACGACATACGCTAAAACTCGCTTTGTTGCTGCCAAAAGTTTGAAACGAAGAAACACTCGCTTCTTGGACGACGATTTAAACAAACATGACGATCCGTGTACGGCACACCACGTGCACACAATTCCTACGTCATTTTGCTCAATGCTCGACACGTCCGCAGACTCGACCGAGACCTTGGAGCGACTCGCGCACATCGAGCGACAGCTGCGCGAGCGCTCTGCCGCTATCGATGGAAATGGAAGCTCCAACACTGACATACTGTCGTCTACCAGAACCCACGAGTATACGCTTTCTCCCGATACTGCCCGCGAGCTCTGGACGGTCGTGCTCGACGTTGTGTTTACCCCCTTATGGCTGCGCATCCGTGCTGCAGACTTGCTTCTTGTATACTGTAACCATAGTGGTGACTGTGACAGACCTTTGACGATTGATACCAGAGAGACGCACAAGTGTCGCGCAATCGTGAGCTCGACGTGCCAAGCGATGGAAGAGTTGAAAGCCACGGACGCCACGCAGGCGGCGCAGCTGTTCACGTGGCTCGGCTTTGTCGAGCGCGTGTTGCTTGTTGCAGAGAGTGATGTGTGGGCTCTTGTGCTCCAGCACAGCATGTATGCGGGAATGCTCACAAAGATGCTGAGACTCTTGTCGGTCTGTTCGACTCGCGTGTTTGCAGCAACGACACTGTGCCTGGGACTCTTTCATTCCCATGAGAAAAAGTGTGGACGATCTATCTTGGTGGGAATGGTGCTGCGAGACATGAAAGATGGCAGGGAACATCTGGGCGGGGCGCTGCTGCACGTCATCAACTCGTGTGGGTGTCCGTGTCCAGTGGAACGGACGGTACATCTGTGCAATGCGCTCCAGGTAGGATGATGTGTGGCTTGAACGTTGGGTGTACTGTCATGTGTTGTAAGTTAGTAACATCGGTCTTGTAATGTTGTTGCTGTTTGTACCTTTGTTGGTGTTGTGCAGTTGTTTGGGGACATTCTGGCGGACGAAACAGCATCTGTGTGTGTATTTCTGAATGATTATAAAGTGCTCATTGATCTCGTGATTCGAGAGTGCACGGATCTTCCACAAAATGACCCGACGCGTCTGCACTACTTATTGTTGTTGGAACGCGTGCTGGACTCGCCAATGTACCTCCAAGCGCAAATGTACCGCAAACGAGAATTGTTGGAATTGTTAGAATCGCTGCTGGATGCAGGAGCTGAGGAAGACTCGGTCTTGCCAAGAGACGTCATGGACGTTACAAAGCGTATTCTGTTTCAGTACATCGATCTGCTTGACTGAAGATCGGCGTGCAAAAGGCTGGCGTGGTCTCGAGCACGACATGGCTGGAGAAAAACAAGACGTCCGGTGTATCGGTATATTTGTTGTCCCAACCATCATTTGTGACAGCAGTATTGCATACAATTGGACAGCAAGACTGAACTTGTGCGTCAGAGTCATGTATGAGCAAGTGTCGACGAACAGCTCGCGTCCCGTCGCACACACCAAACCGCCATTATTTGTGCTCCAGTGCGCTAGACTCCTTTCTGGCCCTGGCTCGCGCTGACAAATCTCACAAGCGCTCAAGACACTAAGCTTGCACACAACATAAAGCTGCTGAAACCCCGACAAAACTGTTGCGAAGTGTGGGCGGGTCTCATCATCGGATACGGCTTCGTACGAATTGGCCGGCATCATCTACAAGTGATCACTTTTTGTAATTTTACAGTTGCAAGACGATTGATGCTGGAGCGACGTTTCGAGCGCATAACCGATTTGACTAACGGCGGCTTCGCGACTGTCGTGCAGCAGATTGTGTGCGGCTGTTGGCGTTGCAGACACTCTTCAGTAACCTCATGTGCTGGCTCTCGCACGTCCCTATGACTTGCTTCGGCTGTGCGAGCGCCTCAGACATGATCAAATATTGCTACACAAGTTTGCACATCGACAGTTTACTTGCGAACGTCCTGAGCACACAGATCTGCAGAATGTGGCAGTGCTACAATCGGAAGGGGAATCAACGGTGGCAGCAACGTCGGGACCGATCGGAATCGAGCTTTCATGGTTTTCGACAAACAAGGACGACTCGGCACAGCAGGCTCGACTCATGCATGTTTGAGTCGAGGGGTTGGTGTCGGACATTGTGCGTGTTTTACTCTGGAACAAGCCGCGGTTTTGCATGATAGCATGACGATGGTACGATGTGAGAAAAAGCTGCTCGCATCAGTGACATGACTGCAAGTATGACGATGGAAAGACGTCGCTAAAATAAATGCCTTCCTATCGGGATGTGTGTCATTGAAGGATGGATGTTTCGGATCACAAAAACGTCCACTTCCGCTTGAAGACAGAGCACAACCAGACTGAATATAGTAACAGACTCAGAACCTCGAAAGGAGCAACGCGGGTCCAACTTGCAACCAGTTTACAATCGATATGGGTTCGACAGAAGCAGAATCGTTTGGTGGCCAGCAAGCGTCGAAAAAAGCAGCAAAAAACACCTTGTCACGATTTGCCAAAAGCACTTGTTTTGCATCCCCCTGACAACATCCCGCTGACGTTGCGTGGCGTGTTCTTTTTGTGGTCCACACTAATATAGTCCACAAGGCGACCGGCTTGAAACCGTGGGGTTCGGTGAGCAGTTCCCCCTCACAATTGATAGAACACAAGTGCAGACAGACCGAGAGAGAGTGCGAGCAGATGGTCCTGACGTATGGACGTCCGGCAGCAGCGCTCGTGAGCGGCCGCGTGCTCCAGCAGCAGCTCAAGCACCGGCAACAGCTCTCGCTCCCGGCATCGCAGACGACCCGTGCGCTGTTTACGGTCGTCGAGAAGTACCTCGAAGCGTCCAAGCGCTTTGGCCTAAAGCAGACGCTGTGGAAACTCTATAATCCCGGGGACGTCAAGTTTGGCCGCTGTGTGGGCCAAGACGAGAACGGGTTCAAGTACTACGAAGACCCGACGGAGCTCTACGGTCAAGACCGCTGGACCGAGTACCAGGTGGACTCGTGGGACGAGGTCGAAGGCACGCTCATTCCGCCCCCGTGGCACTTGTGGATGCATCACTTGACCGACGCGGTGCCGGGCGAGGCGGGTCAAGACGCCCAGACGTGGGCGAAACGACCGGTGGTCGCGCACTCGGACGCGCCGTTCACGAACCACGTGGGCGAGAGTGGGCCGTACTCCCCGAACAAGACGCTCTATCGCTCGCGCGGCTACAATGTCGGTAGCGTGGCGATTCCGCCGGGCGAGCCGGACCAGTACTACCTCCAGCCCGGCCACTTGCGTCGCAAGCGCAAGCACGAGCAGCACTTTTTCGCCGAGGTGGACTACAACAATCCCGAGATGTCGGACGAGAGTCGTCAGCAGTCGCTGCGTCCAGCGGACGTCAACTAAAGCACGAGCAGAGAGCAGCAATGGAGCGATCGAGAGGCTGTAGCGGCCTCGTAACGCGACCATGGGCCTTGTGCATCAAGAAGGAGCGAGGATCACACGATCTACATCAAGAAGGTGACTGAACGAATGAATCCATGGCAGACGTGGTCGATGGTCTTGTTGTCTTGTGTTTATGGTTGTTGGCTAGCTCGACCGCCGAGACGGACTGCTCATGACCATGTTCCGACTTCGACACGCGGTTCTTCTTGCCAATGCCGTCTGTGTATCTCCTTCCTCTTGTATCCCAGTCAAGCGCAACGGGTGTCCACAGAGAGGGAGGAACGGCCGGGACAACACCTACATCTACTCACCCAGCACACTGCTAATACATACACTCGCCCGCGTTCGTGCGGCTCAGATGGCAATCTCACTGGCCCCGCTGTGGGCCTCGAGCTTGAGCGCAATCAGCGACCCCGACCGCGCCATCTTCGCCTGTTCCGCCGATGCCATCGACGCGCGGTCCAGCGACACCTCTTCGCCATAGTCACCGTCGTCGGCACTCGACGATTGCTGCAGTAGCGGCATGAACGACTCGTACGCCGACGCGTGCATCGACGTTGTGAGACTGTCTCGCGTCGACGTCGACGAGAGCGACGACTCGGACAGGAACGACACGGTCGACATGCCGTTCAAGTCGACTTCCTCATCCGCCTCCGACCGCTGTTGCCTCCTGGCCGGCAGCATGCCATACACAGGTCCAGGCCGTCGGCTGCTTCGGGCCAGTGGCGAGTCCGGGCCCAAGCTCTCGTCGGACGCTCGGCGGATCGCCGGCACTGGAGCACGCACGGGCAGCGGCGCGACGAAACTAAAGTTGTCGCCGTCCGGGCCCATGCTCACGTCCAGCTCGTTCTGACTCGAGCCACTCTGTGTAAAGTCCGCATGCAGCACCATTGTCGGCGGCACGGTATGCTCGAGCTTTCCATAGGCACTGGTCGTCGTCGCGAGCTCTGCGTACTCATCAGGCGCCGACAGCTTTCGACCCCCTTTCGCCATCCCCCGCGACAAGTGCAGAGCTCCTGCTCCTGTACCTGCTCCTGCTCCTGCAGCTCCTGTCCCTCCTGCTGCTGCTGCACCTCCAGTGCCTCCTGCTCGACTCGTCTGTCCGTTGCCAATCAAACCCGTGAGGTGGAACGTCGTGCTCGCTGCCAAGTTGGTCGCCGCGGGCCGTCGCTCGTCTTCGGACTCGCGGTACGAGAAACTGCCTGCGCCTTTGCGGTGGCCAAACCCCGTGGGGCTCACGCCGCCTTTCGTGTTGAACACACTGCTGCCGGAACTGCTGGCGACGCTCGCGTTCGGCTGGTAACTCGCGGCGCTGGACCGCGTAGACGACGCGCAGCTCAGGTCAAAGCCCTTCGAGAGCCCCAAGTGCCCGGGCGAGAGCTCGATCGAGAGCTCGGGGAGGCCCAAGTCGTGCTCCTTCTGGAAGCCGCGATCGGTCGGGACTGTCAGCGCTGCGGCGCCCGCAGCAGCAGCAGCAGCAAACGTCGTGTCCAGCGGCTCACCCGACTTGGACCGCCGTCGTCGACGCGACCGCAAGAACAGCACTGCCGCAACGACGAGGAGCAGGATCCCCACAGCGATTCCCACAGAGAGCACAGCCCCATTGCTGCTTTTACTGCTTCCACTGCTTGCACTGCTGCTGCTGTTGTCCTTCTTGATAGCAGCACTTGTGTCGCGACTGCTGCTGCCCGTAGCGTTCGTAGAGGGCGTCAGACTGCCATTGGCGCTGCTGCTGTCGCTGGTGGGCTCTCCTCTGGAAGCGATCGTCTCGGGTGTCGCCTCCAGCGTCAAAGGCCGTCCGACAGCGTCCGTGGGAACTGGAGACGGCGTCCGAGGCCTCTCGACGTCCTCTCTGTCGTCGATACGGTTATTGTTACTGTTATTGTTACCGTTACTGGGGCTGCTGCTCTCCGCTATCGCCGGCGTAAAGTCAGTCGTGGAAGCCGAGAGAGGCGCAGACGGCTGTGCGTCGCGTGGCGTGGCGACGGACGCGAGCAGACTGTTCACGAGGTCGTCCGTCGTCACAGTGTCCGCCAAACGGTCCGTCATCGCGAGCGGCGCGGGCCAAAGCGGCAAAACGACAAGTGCGTCGTCGTCGTCGCTCGAGCAGCGCGTCGAAAGGTCTGTCGTGGAAGTGCGTTTCGATAGAGCAGTCGCGGGCGTTAGAAACGCCGATAGCGTGCGCTATTCGCAATGTCTTGTGCTTGCGCTTGTTCTGTTCGATAAAGATCGACGCTATTGGGGGGTCGCCCCGCTGCTGCCCGCGCGCGACGCGCCAGTGAACAGGCACAGACGACAAATGGATTGACGCACGGCCCGCGAACGAGTCAGTGCGACTGACTGAGTCTCTACCGGAGCTCCTCAGGCGCTGGCGCACTCGGGGGGGGGGGGGGGGGGGGCGCGCGTCCGGCCGTCGTTCGCCCGTTTTATTTCGATTCTTGCGACATGTTTGCTGCTGGACAGAAACGCGGGCGGACCATCAGACGGGCACGCGCTCGCTCGCCTTTCTTCCTGTCCAGGATATCATGGCTCCACATGCAGCACTCACTCGCACGACGCACGTGTGGCGGCCGTCGTCGACCGTCACTTGGGCGTGTGCATGTCGACGTGTTTTCGGTCGCAGGCCGCGCAGGTGGCGCAAGGCAGTGGTGGTTTGGACACTTGTTGCCGGACAGTGTCGGTATGTTTGGTCAGTGGCGATACTTTACTTACGAGCGGGGGGGGGGCAACGACTAGAGCGAGAACGACCGCCGGGCGGGGCGACAGCTCGACCGCGTGCAAAACTATCGAATCGAGCGACGGTACCGCCGAATACAGAACCGAACTTACTACAGCTGTCGATTCGGCAGCGAACTTACTGCGTCCCGCAAATGGCATTCCGATGCCTGAAATTGTCGTGGAATAGTGAAACGTCACATTTGCGTACATACGTCTGCAGGTGTTGGGGCGAAACAAGTTTGTGCATGTCAAGGGCAACGCCGTTTTCGTGTTAGGTGCTCGCAAAGGCTTTTCGTAGATCTCTAGTCAAGTATCGTCCAGTACAACAAAGAGCGATAGCGGTCGATAGACGATCGTCATCGACAACTCGAGAGCGTAAGCCAGTGAGCCAAAGCTTTTCCTGGACATTGTACAGCACAAGACAGGAATTGTAAACGTGATGGTCAAAGTAGTGTCCTGCAGCAATGGCGGAGATTGCGCTACTTGACGGAGCGGAGAAGGGTAGTGGTGGACACGCGGGAAAAAGCAGCGACATGGCAGTTGCTGCGCTTTACAGGCGTTTCGTATTGCAAGGGGTGAGCAGAATCGATCAGACGGCTGGTCTGAGGTGGTCCTGGCAGAGGTCGACGTCGAAACGAGTGTCCTTGGCGACAAGTCGCTGGACCGACATGCAGGTGCTCGTCTTCGCACGAAAGCTTACACATGTAACGCGCAAGCAAACATCAGGTGATAAACGCCGTCTTTACGAGCTGGTTTGGCTTTTGTATGCACTTGATACTAAGACGTGTGGCGCAACGATGAGAAGAGAAATCTTCTCGCGAGGCGTTAGTTCCACGAATAAGGACGAAACCGCTCGTATAAACACAGGGAAAAGAGCGAGAGAGAGAAGACATTACGTACAAGGGACGAAACCCCTTGTGGAGCTTCCTGGACAAAGAGTTCGCAACGCGGCGTTGCACGTACGTCTCATTGCTTCTCTGTCGCCTGATTGTATCGACTTTGACAACGACACTGTATCATTGACACCGTAGCCATATCGAGGCACAACTCGGAATATCTCTACGCTTTTTCTTCAAGAAGAGGGAAGAAGGGATGTCTTTTGATGAAGCTTGTAGAGAACGAACTGGTCGACTTTTGCTGGTGTTCTTCTACGTCGGCTGCACTTGAGACATCCCGTGCTTTAGTGATCGCCCTCATGTGTTGAGCGGGTTGAAGAGAGACTCAAACAGGAACAAGACAACGCAGAAACGCTGTCATCATCATCATCATCATCATCATCATCATCATCATCATCAGTGGATTCGAGCGTGTACATCTCTGCCGACCGTCGCTCAAGACGATCGGTCGATTACTAACTACTGCCAGTGTCGCAATCTGACCGATCAGAACAGTCACGCAGGACCTGTGCTTGCTGTGCTTCAAGCAGCTGAACCGTCGTACTGAACCTGCTGCGTAGACCCTGGCTACTGCCACGCGTTCCAGCATCCAACAACAAGCTCAAGCTCAAGCCGAGCTCTGTCCACAGCTGTTCCTACGCACCTTTTCCATTCTTCGGCTACTGACTGCCCTTTGTCGTCAGTATCGAGACAACGACTACCTGCACTTGACAGCATGCGTGCCGAACCATAACGGACGACCGCATGTATCATAAACGATAGGAATGGTATCTACCGTACCAGCACATATGCATTCACGTCTAGTGGTCGTCCATCTCGTTCGAGAGTTGCGGCGTCGTTACCGATGCCACAACTACCTTAGCAATCGTCGTACTGGCTGCTACGGCTATTGTCTCTGTGTGTATGTGCGCGTATCTCGCTGAACTTTCGATCACTGCGTCGAGATCACATGACGGCTGCTGCGATTCCGCTGACTCTTTCGGGTCCAGTGCGCAGAACGATTCGGGACATGTCGTGTCGTCCGTCGGGGCACATGCTGAGGCCTCACCTCAAACGTGCGGTGCAGTCGATACGACAAACTTGGCAGCCCAACCATATCGTAGTTTGATGGATCGCAAGCTGAAACTCCGTATCCCATCCCCACATTTGCCGCACATTAGGACAACACGGCGTTTGCAGTCGCGACTTGCGAGGACTGAATGGACCACACACCTGTTCCCAACGAGGTCAACTGTCAGGACAGAAACTGACCTGTAAAAGGAACGTATCTAGTGATCGAGTGCAGTGTCGACACACATGACGCTAACTATTGAGCACTTCTACAGCGACTTTCACAAGATTTGTTGGAGATATTTTTTCGATACAGATCGCCAACAATGCATGTGCGTTGTACATTCCTTCTGCGTTGTGTGTATTCCTCGATCAACTACGTATGCCATACGCACAAGTCTACCGACGGCCATGAACAAAGAGACAGAGGATTCCAATACGTATCGTGGTGTTAGTCGTCGTAGAGAAGAATCAAAGACCATTGTGTACATACACATGCTGCAAGAAACGCAAACCTCACTTTGTTGTCGAGTTTCAATAATGAACGCGCTCGGACACGCAGTACGACGGGCGTGCAGCTCAGATCGCCCGAAAGTCCTTAAACTTGTTTTCAATGTCCTCTTTGAGCTCCGGGTCCACTGCATTGCGCACGCCGATCAATGCCTTGGCCACAGCTTCCGACGCACCAATCATTGGACGTAGCACGGCCACGGGCACAGCCCGAATGACGGACCGCACGTAGCCCTGCGAGCCCGTCTTCTTGTACTCGATAAGTGGCACGGCCACGATCGTCTTGGCAGCCACGTGCAGCTCGCGCGCAAGCGAGTTGTAAGCTTGACCGAAACCTTCTGCAGCAGTAGCTGGCTGCTGGGTCAGGTACTGACGACCTCCAATACCTCCACCCGTGTCCTGTGCATTGCGAATACCGCCGCCACCCAAACGTCGCGAGTTTCGAGCGATACGACTGCCCGCCTGTCGATACTTGAGCTGTTTGTGACGTAGCGCAGACGACGACGACATCACGTCATCCGCGTGCTCGAGCAGCGCTTGCGTGCCCTGAGCCACTTTCGACGCAGTGTTGAGTGTCTCAATCGTCACAGACTTGAGAAAACTCGATGCACCCTTCTTCATGCCACGCACAAGCCGCCGGTCCCGTCCGTAGTGCTCCATTGGGAGCAAGATCAGGTCTGCTGCGCCTGCGCCAATGTTTACAAATGGACGCAGAGGAGGCATCGACACACTTGCAACGCACTTGTGGATCTGGTGCCGCGAAATGTCCTGCACCCACGACACCAGGACGTGCTCGCCCAAAGCAGTCCATCCATCCAGTCCGCTCACTTGCACGCGTCGAAGCAAGAGTTCCATACCCTCGAGCACAAACAAGTTGATCACTTCGAGGTAATCGCCAGCACGAAGCGCCGCGTAGTCGACATGATTCGGCCGGTAGTCAATCTTGATTTTGCACGGCTTAATGTCGACGCTCTGGAAGAACCACGCGCCCAAGCAAACACCGGGCTCGACAGTAGGTACACTCTCGCCAATGAACTGCAACTCCACCCCGTGCTCGTGCATTGTCGCCTCGGCATCATCTTCTGCGTCGTCAACCGGTTGCTGTGCTGGACGCGATTTTGGGGCCAGCGGATCCTCAGCTGGCACAAACTGCCGCAAGAACTTCACAACCTCCTGGTCGAGGTTGACGCGCAGTGGCAGCAAACGAGCCTTGAGTCGGTGTTCTTCACACAAGTTGGTACCGGGTCGGATGGACGTCAACTGCAATCGCACCATCGAGCTGGCACTTTCACGTGGATGCGTCGCTTCCGACTTCCAGTAGCACACAATCTTGCGGATCTGGGACGTTGAAATGTAATCCAGCAGTTCCACATCACCCAGTGCCAGCACAGCGTGAGATGCCAGCGACTGGGACTCAGCTTCATCAAACACGTCGAGACGGAACTGGATCCGAGTTACCACTAGCTCCAGCATTTCCTCTGTTTTACGGCTGCTCTTCTTTAGCATGCGCTTTCGTGATTTATGCGGGCTGTCGCGTAACGCAACACGCTTCATGCATGCCGCCGGGTCAGGCTTCATATAGGATGTAGTAGGTGCGCTTTTCGCGCAGGGGAATAGAGGTGGGCTGCTATCATTGCCAAACAGATCGCCTCCATCGGAAGGAACGTAGTTGTCCAACAACGCGTCCAAAAGCTTCTCCTTCCTGGCAGCACCCCTATCTCGTGGCCGCACGTCCGTGGGAGGTCCGTCCTTCCGCGAGTGGAGCTTTACCGCTTCGCTCACATCGCGTGTCCAGTCGCATCCACCAAAGAACCGCACGCAAATGTTGAAGTTACGCAGTAGCACGTGCCGCACGACGACCGGAGGCGGCGCCTCTACTTTTCGTACCATATTTTCTCGTGCAATGGACCTTATGGCATCCTCGCATTCTTTTTCGCCAAACGATAGGGATGTTGCTGAGCCACCAATGGGTATTTCTACGTGGTGCGGATAAATTCGCGATGGCGGGCCAGTCATGGGGAGGCCGCCATCATCAAACCGTTGATCATCGTAGAACCAGCGTGCTGTAGGCTGGTCTCGCGGTGAACCCGTCTGACTTCGATATGATGAAGAGTCCTCGTGGTGGCTACTGGTCGACGAAAAGGATGCCCGTCGCGCTGAAGTTGTGTATGAATGCGGTGCCATGGCGAAGCTGCGCTGCTGCTCGTCTCTGTCCAAGCGCTGGTACGCTAATTCGTTATGGTATGTATCGCTTCCACGATCATCAATGCCTGAATCCCGAAATTCACGACCGCTATTCGATTCCATGTCCAGCAGCCGGTTGAGCCGCGACTGAAGATTGCTGTCGAGCGCGAAATCTAGTTCGACCTCTTTGCCTTCGTCCTCGCCGGCATCAATAATCGACATGGACATGGCACTAGGATACACGTCGTTGTAATGTCTGCCATCCGCTTGCTCTTCTTCTGATGACATTCGACGATCTGTCCCTTTTTCCTCCAAGATATCCATTTGGTGCGAAAACGACGATGCGGTCTCTTCTGTTTGTTGATCACTTAGCCCGACGTCATCGAGTCGATTCTGCATACCCCACCAGTTCTTGGACGCAGCCGGATATGCGCCGACTGACAACTGATTCACGTAGCAATCGTCACCATCAACCATATCCATGGCTCCGTTATCACCATAACCTGCATTTGTCGATCCAACACTTGCTCGTGAGCTCATGTGCGGTCCAGAAGATGGTACACGAGACTTCTCTTCCACTGGCTCGAACATGTGAAGCGCTTCGCGATAGAATTTGCTTTCAGACGCGCATTCTTCGCGTTCACCAGCGGCGCCAGTACTTCCACCAGACGCAAGCCACCGCGGTACTTGTCCTTGATGCGGCAGTGCTGATCTCTCAGTAGAAGAGTCCAATGATATCGAGCAGCCTGGTGCGCTGCCGATTGCCGAGGTAAACCAAGGGTTGTCGCCAGCTGCAGCCTCTCCTGAGTGCGTATCATCTGGCAAGGGTTCCATAAGAAATGCCCCCGCGGACTCGTGTGCATGTTCGTCGAACGATCTCGTTTTGGAATAGTAGTCCTCAATGACAAGCTCGTTGATCCGAACCGGCTTCGTGGAGTCGCGCCTCTCATACTGATCGTGTCGCAATCGCAACTCCGACGCAGACAACTGGTCGTCGCGCTGAAGACCATGGACCATACGGTTCTTCTCTCTCTTGATAGAATCCATTCGTGTGCGCAACAAACGGGCCTCCGTATCGCTTGCGACCGTTTTCCCAGGAAATATCTTCTTCCCACCACCAAAAGCGTCTTCATCGATCTGCTCCAGAATACTGACAGAACCTTCACCTAAATCGCCACTTCCGCTGACAGAATGCCGATCGTTTCGCCCGCTGCTACTGCTACAGAAGTCTACTACTCCCTGTGAGCCCAGTAACAACTCAGACACGGTATTCATCGGCTGCAAAATATTCGCAGGGGCAGGGCTCAGATTCGTGGCGACTGAAATACCGAAAGGATCAACCGATCCGTCCAGGCCCACATACGCAGTAGTGTCGCGCGGCCCCTGTGCAACCGCAAGCTGATTCGTCCACACTGCAAGCAGCTCGACCAGCGTATTGAACGAATCAAAGCACGCATAGACATTAGCCGTGCCCAAATTCAATTCCACTGATAACTCTGGTGACGTTGACGAAGCCGGCCCCTTTTTCTCGGGTCGGTCAGGATGCGCTGCGGCAACCTCAAGTGCAGAAGGCGGCACGAGCACGCGCAAGAAAACATCCACAAAATCCATCGTGACGATCTGCAGAAATCCAAACTTCTCCAGAAATGTCAGCAAGGACGGGTACTCTGTGCCCATACTGCCATCACCGCCTCCTCGTGCGTAGCTATCCGCAAACTTGAGCTTGTTCTTTTTCAGAGCTTTGGAGCTGCTGCAAAGGAAGATGTCGTTGCCGAGAAGAACGTTGTCGATTTCTTCGTAGCCTGGACGTGCTTGCGTCAGGAAAAGCTCCAGGTCGCCTACGGATAGCTTAAATCCTTGCATGACAGCACCTGTGACAACGTTGGAAGAGACGCTGACCGTTCCCAGCACGAGAATCACACGTGACGTCAGTGTCAGCGGCGCGTAATCAGCTATCACATCGTAAAAATTAACGAAAAGCTTCGTGAACACGGTCTTCGACGCGGTTGCCAGCGGCACAACGTCGTAGTCAACTCCACTAGTCATTTCGAAAAGCTTTGCACTTTCTTCATCCGACATACTCGCCGAGTCCAGTGGTATGATTGGAACAGGATATTCCATCAGCACCATATCCAGCAACTGATACAGCCATCTCGAGCGTACATCGTAGCGTAAGCTAAGGTGCGACAGGTGCAAGTCTACTTTCATCTCGCGCATCGCATTAGTTTGGTCAGCAATGTCGACACCCATAAACCAGATAGGAGCTCTCGACATTCCAAACGGTGTTCTGTAAACGATTGGCACAATAGCCTTCGTACGACCGTCTTCTTCCAGCAAAGTAGTGTTCTGGGCCAGCACGTGAACACGGGAGACCAGCTGCCCCATCCATTGAGACACCTGGAACACTTTAAGAGTCTGGAACGCGAAATGGTACGTGAACAAAACCTTCTCGGACTCGGACGAATCAGACGCTGTTTGTCCAGTCGCATTGACTTCGGACGGGACGGAAGCAGCAGACGATGAAATGTAGTCGCACACACGCAGAGTTCCCTCGCTCACTACGAAGTTCATGCTCATGTAACAAGGCAACAAGCGGTTCCTAAGCGCAGCCGCAGCAAGCATCTGGTTGTAACTATCCACATCAACAGGGTTGATCATCAACAGCGCGTCAAATAGCACCATCAAGCGATCCAGCGATGACTTGAACAACACTGCGTTCGCACTGGGCAGACTGATTTCTACTGAATACAGCGAAGCCGCTGCTGCCGCTCGTTCGTACGACTCTGTACGCTCCAGAGCATCCAGATTCCATCCGTTTAGGCCCACTCTTCCACCATCGTTATCGTCACCACTAACGTCATCAGGTGAGCTGCTGGCCGACGCGCCATCGGGGCTTTGGCTCGAATCTTGAGACAGATTTTGCTTGCTGGCAATGGCATCCTCCATCTCGCCGCGCGATGGGACTTGGAGCCGCAAGCGGAGTGTGCAAACATTTCCAGAGCATTTGTCACTACAGGCAGTGAGAAGTACAGACTCATCGAGACGTACATTTCGTTGATTCCCATGCTCAGGAGTCAATAATGATACCTTGGCATTGTCGAATGAAGTATCAAACTCTGACAACCATGAAAGCGCACGTCTGTTCCTGTACTCATGTGGCGTTGATGTGCCTGCCACACAGGCCTCGTCACCCTCACTACCAGCGCGTGGAGAGGTCGAAAGAACCTTTACACCCTCCAAAGTCATCACAAGCTTGTCTTCGCACAGTCCCCGCTTTGATGACGGGCCAAAGCGAATAAGGTCGCTGTTGACCATCGGAAACCGTAGTGTCACCTGCACACATTCCGTTGTCACGTCGAGCGTTCTCACGACTTTCTGAGCTTCATTTCTCGTGCCTGCCACTTGCTGCTTCTGCTTCGATACCGATGTATCATCTTCCAGCAGGGCTACCAAGCGGTGCGCCCTATCTATCAGATACATATCCCATTCTACAAGGACGGGTTGTACGTTTACCCGCAGCCCTAGAGATACAATTGCTGCGGGAGACCCATCTTCGAGTACGGGCTCGAAATCGATACGCACCTGAGCCGATAAGTTCGCTGACAAATTCGTTCGTCGCCCAGAAACTGGTGAAGTATCAACACATTGCAAAACGCATGTCGACAGCATTGTTGCTTCATCCTCTTGAGCGTCCAACGACATCCGGGGAAACGTCTTCTCTATAATCGCACCTGTCCCGATACTAAACGCGAGTAAAGAGTGCTGAGAATACGCCAAGCTAGAAACAATGATGTCCTTGAACGATACTTCCAATCGCTCGTGGCCGTCCACACAAGGCAAGGCCTTTGTTTGTCGGACTGGAGCACGAAGAAAACGGCTGTCGGTCACCAAACGCTCACCTTCGTGTCCACCCCGTACATCCTCGTTGACTTCATCTTCATCGTCGGGCATGTCATCGTACAGAAGAACGCATTGACATTCAAGCAAGTGAAACTTTGCTCGTGACTGCACTCGGCGCGCAGATCGGCTCTGGGCCGCAGTTGTAGATGACGACAAGGGACGTCGATCGTCGCAATTGTCATTTTCGTCAAAGCCGTACCGAGCCGACGCGTACATGGATTGACCCATCATACTCTGGTTGTCAAAAGACGCGCCCGGTGCGATCGACCTTGCAAGCCCTGAATCGCACTCGAAGAATCCATCGTCCTCATCGTCTAGATCGGACAATCCTATACTATCCACACTTTCGGCAGCAGACAATTTCCGCATCTTGAACGGTAGTTGCGCCTCAGCTGATGGAGTGCTTGCATCCGTTGACGAAGCGCCACGATGAGCATTTCTCAGTTCGTCTTGCGTCCGTCGATAGTTAAGGAGCAACTGCTCAATGCGCTGGAATTCCTTCAGCGACAAGTTGAGTGCCTTCTCACCCCCGTTGACTTCGCCGTCGTCGCTTCCAGTCATCCATTCGGGCTGATCTTCACAGATGGACCGAAATGTCACTCCCGATGAGCACCGCTCTTCAGAACGGTGCGTATCGAGATTGGCGGCTTCTGTCGTGAATGCATCCAATATTTTCCCTAGTTCCGGAAAATACTGGGGCTGCAATACAATCCTGATCGAGTGGAAAAACACATCTGCATCCACTGCTGGTGCTTCGAACGCCTCGTAGTGAGACAGTTTCACTTGGATGTAGCACTGCTTGCTTGGGTCGCTAGCAAGGAATGGATGCAATACCATATCGCTGCGTTCCGTGCGGCGCCGCTCATTCTGTCTGTCTGTCTCACCATCTTCCTCACTGCTCAAGTGCAAGCTCATACTGACATCGCGGAACTTTATGCCTTTGTGCGATATACCAAACATCGTACTCGCTGCCATCGACTGCATTCCGCCACTGACCGTCTGTGAGCCGTACATGCCTGCCAGATGGTCCAAACTGCTTCGTCCGTAAACGCTCATGACTTCCGACGCCGACTCGTCTGTGAACTGCGCCCATTGTAGTCGACACAACAGCGCGACATCTCGTCCGTTGTGCTGCTCTCCTGTCTCCAGTCGTAGGCACACATTTGACAGCGTGACTTTGATCTTGGACGTCACTTGTTCAATCCAGCTAGCCACAAAGTCAAGTCCTTCCCGAGAGATCTCATCCACTTCTTCGTGTGTGCTATTCCGATGTGCTCGACCACTGTCCACGTGCTGTTGCTCTCCCGTTTCGCTATCTTTTGCGCCGCTCGGTCGAGTCGGCTGCGTCTCGGCCTTGTTCAGCGGCACCAAGACGATCTCAACATCGTCAATCTCGACCAAGCAGCTCTCGTTCATGATATTTGCGTACGAGATGGCGACACGAACTGAGCCCAAGTATCCCCTCTCGACCCGAAACGGCAGCCCTTGCGCCTCACAAAGCTCAGCATTCAGCACATCAGCATTCAGCAGGAGATCGCACAGCTCGAGGCGCCCGGAACGCAGATGCACGTCCAGTTGGTCCAGATCCAGCTCGTCTGCAGCCAGGAACCGTCCAATCATGCGCTTGAGCACAAACTTGTAGAGCCGCTTGAGCGCTGGGTCCGTCAAGTGCTTGAAAAACTGCATCTCGGTCGTCTGCGTGCGTCGAGAATAAAGTGAAGAGATCCGTCGGGTTTACAGTTTTTAAGAAAAGAAAAAAGAGCGATGCGCTAAAAATAAAACAAACAATCGGTCAGTAAAAATAAAAAAGCGCGAGCAAAAAAGCCCTTTTGGCCCAACTACGCCACTCCTGGAGCTCGGAAAAGCGGCACACACATCGATGACATCACTACCTGCTTGGCAATGTAGGAACGGGACCTGGACGATCGCCGCTGGACTCGCCAGGATGCAATCTCGTACGCCGCGTCTTGTGCCGTCCGTCGTCTGACCTCTTGGCTTGTTTTGCGTTGTTCTTTGAAGAATTCGGAGCGGTCTCTTTTCAGCCAATCAGCGAGACGTTCGCGCGATGACAGCCAGCGTTTCTACCCCGTCTGAACGACGTCTACTTGACAGGAGATATCGCTATGTAGGGGAAACGTCGGAATAATAGGACAAACGGACAACATGCGGGACCCACCGACCGACCGACCGACCGACCGTCGTCACTTGAAGCTGGGGCGAAGGACCATCTGGTAAATAACTTGCAGTGCGTAGTGCAACATAAGCACAACTGATTGCAGCGACTACCTGCAACGCGCCTTTTCGCCAGCGTATTCTTTGCAAGAAGGATCGGCCGAGTCAGAAGACAGCTGCTCGTCCGAGCTGCGACTTCAAGCAAAGAGCAGTCTCCACGAAACACTATGTAGAGGCGTCTTATCAAGGGCATTTATTCACGGGCGATTGATCCATTGCTAGCAACCGACACGAATGTCTATCTGTCCCTCGATTATCGACAACGACATTGCATCTGCTCGCGTCAATACGTGCGTGTGGAGCAAACAACACGAGGCGGACGACCTCTGCGATCGATCTTTGATCGCACACGCAGCCAGTGAGAATTCGATACTAACGATCAATCGATCGACCGACTGACCGACCGACTGACCGATTGACTGACTGACTACTTTATCCAACCTCTCGTGCCTTCATCACGCGCTTCTCTTCTCGTTTGTATGCGCACACTCACCCGGACAAAACCTGTTTTGAACCAAAGTGCGTTTTATGTCCATATCTACTATCACGCACGACCGGACGACAGTATCGTAACAGATGTCACTGACGCAAGAACATCCGCTCCCTTTTTCTGAACCGATATTATCCTGGTTTAATTTGACACAAATCAGACAAGAAAACAAACTCGGATCTTTTGTGGCCGGCTGGCGTCCGTCACGACGGACCGCCAGCGATGCCAACTTACGCGTTCGCTTTCGTCTTCATGCCCATCTTCGAGAGGAACGCGTCGACATCCGCCTGCATCGCGTCGTGGTGCGGCACCTGCTTCATCCGGCCGAGCCAGGCCGACAGCTTGGGGTACTTGGCAAAGTCAAAGATGCCCATGAGCTCGATCTGGACAAACTCGCAGTACGCAGCAATGTCGGCGATCGTGGGGTGGTCCGTCCCGGCCACAAAGTCCGCGACCAGGAGCTTCTCCATCAGGTCCGCCAGCTTTGTCAACACCGCCGTCGAGTTCTTGACCAGCACAGCCTCTTCAGGCGTCGCGATGTTCATCTTCGTGTGCATGACAGGCACCAGGACCTTGGACGAGATCTGACGCGTGTTCGAGTGGTGCCAGTGCAAGTACTGGTTTACCTTGGCGCGGGCGTGTAGGTCCGTCGGGTACAAGTCCGTCCAGCTGAGCTTCTCCGCCAAGTACACGAGGATGGCGTTGCCTTCAAACATGGAGAACTCGCCGTCTTCCAGCACGGGCATGAGACCGTTCGGGTTCATGGCAAGGTACTCGGCCGACTTGAACGTCGGGCTGCCAAAGTCCAAGTCCACGACCTCGTGGTCGACCTGCTTGAGGCGCAAGCCCCACTCGACCGCGCGACACGGCTGACTGATCAGATTGCCGTACAATTTCATCGGGTCTTTTGACGTGGCGCTTCTTTAGGACGTGGGTGGGGATGTGTGGGTGGGTGTTGGGCTGCGAGTTTGCAAATGAGCCAACTCGCAGCGGATCTTTGGCTCGATCTTGTGGTCGATCTTTTTTGTGTGCACCACACATACACGGCACCCGCTCACACGTACCTATCACGTAAGCGTCGACGCAAACACAGCCCGGCGGACGTCGTTTGTTTGTTGACGACCGCACCTATACATGGCTACATCCACAACCCCGAGCGCGCGTGGTGTCTCCGTCTAAGTACGATCTCGCGGCCCCCCGCGGACATGTCGCCTGATCAACTGGAGCTGCCCACGCACGCGCACTCCAATGCGTTCTGGTCGGCCCCTCACACGGCGCCGCGTGTGGCCGTCTTAGTGCTGAATGCGTCGCACGGCTCGTGGCGCGTGGCAGCAGCGAGGGGCGTCGCAGGAGCGCACGGCTCGGAGCTGTTCTGGAGCTTATGGACCCACGCGCAGCTGAGGGTCTGTGCTGACGGCGGTGCGAACCGTTTGTACGACCGCAGCCGCGCACTAAAAGCGCAGGAGATTGTACAGGCACCGGACTATATCAAGGGCGACTTGGACTCCCTGCGCGAGGACGTGCGGGCGTTTTTCGCGGCAAAGGGGACAGTCGTGCTCAAGGATCCGGACCAGTCGACAAATGATCTGGACAAGTGCTTGCAACTGATTTACCAGCAGCAAGAGGACCACTGCCGGACACAGGACAATGCACAGGACTTGTTCTCGGTCCTGATCTTCGGGGCAATGGGCGGCCGGTTTGACCAGGAGATGCAGAACATCAATGCGCTGTTCCGATGGCACGGGAAGTTCCAGCAGCTCGTGTTGCTGTCGGACGAGACGACAGCGAGGCTGCTGGAGCCGCATGTGCGGCACGTGATTACACCCAACTTTATGTTTGAAACGCGCACGTGTGGCCTGATTCCCGTGGCGGGAACGTGCAACGAGACGACCACGTCGGGGCTCAAGTGGAACCTGAGCCCGGGCATGGAGACAGGGTTTGGAGGACTCATTAGTAGCTCGAATCACGTGGACGATGCGTGCGAGCAGGTAGAGGTCGTGACGTCGCATCCGCTCATTTGGACCACGGAACTAAAGAAGCAGCTCGACTAGTAGCGGTACCGCATGTCGAATCAAGTCCATTTAGTATGATCATCAGGGTCGTGTTGCTCTTATTGTTGGCATCACGTAGGGTAGATCGTCGTGCTGAAGCCACGAGACATTGTTGTTATCCTCATCGCCACCACTCCGTGCAATAATTGTGTACCCAGAGACGAAGAGGATCATGATGATGACAACGTCGACAAAGATGATGTAGACAAAGAGGATCGTGCTGATGACGTAGGCGAAGATGATGAAGACGATGATGATACAGACGAATGTGACAGAGGCGAAGATGATGGCGATGATAACGTAGTCAAAGATGATGTAGACGAAGTTGATCATTGTGATGATGCAGGCGAAGGTAATCATGATGATGATGTAGACAAAGATGATGTAGACGAAGTTGATCATTGCGATGATGCAGGCGAAGGTAATCATGATGATGATGTAGACAAAGATGATGATGTAGACGAAGGTGATCATGACGATGATGTAGACAAAGAGGATCATGATGATGTAGACGAAAATGATCATGGCGATGATGTAGACAAAGAGGATCGTGGTGATGTAGACAAAGATGATGTAGACGAAGGTGATCATGGTGATGATGTAGACAAAGATGATCGTGATGATGATATCTATTTGAAAAGCAGCTGTATTGACTTAGCTTCTCTTTACTTCTTTAGCAGCTGTATTGACTGAGTATTGTAAGTAGAGAAAGAGAACAGATTGTCTATTTACTGGTTAGTGCAAGATCTCTGGTAGGTTGTTAACCACACTAGCAACGCTGGAGGGTCCAGGCATTGCCTACGGCTGGCAGCCTGGCTATGAAAGCCGGGCTGCCCTCTCGGTTCTGATATAAATATGTCGTAACATGCAGAAAGTTGGGCGCCACGCACGGCCGTGTCAGCCCTGCAATGGAGACGTTTGATGAGCGCCCGCAATTGAAGCTGAATCCTCCCCCAAATCATGGCTTCACTGGCTTGCATCGGGATTTTCGCATTGTGAAAAACTCTGTCCACGCGGTGTTGCCAGAGCATTGTGATGATGACGGTCCCTGCGACCTCCCAGATCGTCCTCCAGGCCGTGGCGAATTGATCGATGTCGTCGGGGTATCTGACTAACAGCATTGCCGTGACCTGCGGCGAAATGCGTGGTACTCTACCGTTTGCGCAGTGCTCGAGCCAATCCAGTATATGGTGAGGCTTATGAGGTGTGCTCTCACGAGTATTGTAAGTACTCAACTAGTGATAATTGAATGTTGCAGCGGTGATCGGTATGATCTGCCGCCGCACTAATCATGATGATGATGTAGACAAAGAGTATCATGATGATGATGTTATCCGACCGATTTTATGCACGAACTCGAATCGTACGTCGCTGCACATCAAACTCGCAGCTCTCGTCCTAATTTAGTCTGAAAACCTGTTTTCGCGATTAAACTAGAGCTGTAGTTCAAAAAAGCATGCAGCCCAAACGACTGGTAGCGAGTGGGCCACCACAAGCGGTTGTGTTGTCACGTAGACGGCATTTCGGATCTGGCTCGACATGGCCACGAACGGTGTGGGCAAACAGAAGACGTAGCTTTGTGTTGTACTACGAAATGCACTGATGATCACGTTTTTCATTTTCAGACTAGAGTTTCTGAATCAAGGGGGTAGTAGCCCTGTTGATGAGAATTGATTCTGAGCATTCTCGTCCAAGTAAGTAGTCGCTGTCGATGCAGTAGTAGCAGTAGCAGCACTACTAGTACCCTCTGCACGAATGGTTGAGAGACAAAGGAGAAAGGAGTGATGAGATGTAGATTCTGTCAACCATCTTTCGGGGCTGATATTCCAAGTATTTGATGCATACCAAGAACTACTGACCTTTCCAACATCGAAACCATTAGCTGCATCCAGCGTGTTCACATGCGCAATCGAAAACCAAATCGAAGTGTCTTTATTGTACACGTACGCCACCCCCTCACCTGCGTCAGCACGGCAGTTCGGCTGCTTCTTGCACACTGACGTGGTCCAGACGACAGCAGCCGAGCACTTGCTCGGGCAACTCGTCGTCGGTTTCCCCCTGAAGCACAAAGGCCAAGTCGATCACCAACCGCGACGTCTTGTCCAGTAGCGAGTAGATCCCTTGCCGTGCCATGTACGAGAAGGCGTGCATGTCCACAACGACCTCAGTCTTGCCGTCTCGAAAGTGGTAGATGCGGTGCTGGGGCCGCGTCAGCACGGGTGTAGCGTTATGGCTCACCAGGAGCCTCTTGCCCACGCCGGTGATGCCGCACTCGTCCTGGTTTGCCACTTGTGCAATGATCTTGAACCGGTCGGTCACCGATGTGTCCGGGCCAGCCTCCAAGAAGCGTTTGAGCAGCTTCAAAGTCGTCGTCGTCGGCTTCTGTAGCTCCTGCAGCGCCACACGAAGCGACAGTCAGTCAGTGTCGTGCCCATTCCCATTCCTCGACTGCAGGTGAGCAAAAAAACACACGGACCTCGACAACGTCGTCTGGCATCTTCCAGTACAGCGCCAAGCTGTACCCTGGCCCGTCGTACGTGCCGTCTCCCCACAAACTCGGCCCGTACGATGGAAGCTAATGCAGACACAAACATCGTCAACTTTGCAAGCACACGTCAACAGCACGAAACACATCACGTACCTGAGCGTTGAGGATAAAGAGCCGACTCGTAGCATACTGCGGGGGAAAGTTCACGCGCTGGGAGACCCGATCGAGCTTGCAGTCCGTCCGCACCAAGTCAGCTCCAATGAACTCAAACAGCGCTGGCTTTGAAGGCTGTGTGAGACGCACCACCAGCTTTCGTCAGCATCCCAACCATCGCCAAACTCACCCAGCAGACACCTCGCGCCAACCCGTACCTCTTTCTTGCGCGACTTCTTATAGTTGGCGCTCCGTACGGCAAAGGTCTCAGCTCTGGCTGCCGTGCACGAGTGCTCGACCTGTGCTTGCTGCGTCTCGCATTGAGACAGCGTACTGCCCATTGCAAGCTTTGCCGGACCTCCTCGACTGCCCGTGCGACTGGAACGCCGATGGTGGTGCACCTCATTGTCGGATCTACTTACGCAGCCGCCATCGCCGTCTTGTTGAGCTGCACCGGCTGCACGATTCGCTTTGTGGATGCAGCAGTGCACCGGATCACTGCACTGTGCGACGTCCGTATCAAGGAGCGCCTGATCGGGACTACTGGTTGACTGCCCACTGGTCCGCATACTGCCATGGCGCGGACGATGAAGCAGTGGCCGTGGATTGTACACGCTGAGCACGAAGACGCCTGTGACCGCAATGCAGACCGCCACTTTCCACAGCACGTGCTCGCTCGCGAGACAGCGGATTGCCACAATGTTCAGCATGAAGCCCACGATGAGGCACTGCTTGGTGCCATCCACGTGCAGGTGCAAGTGCCAGCACGAAGCGTTGCGCACGCTGTGCTCGAGCTCAGCAGGAAACTGCGTGACGATGCGAGGCGGCACCTTCCGCTTGAGAAGCGGCGAGGACGCAGCAGTCTCTTGCGCGCGAGGACCTGGTCGATCCGCTGAGTCATGACCGTTGAGCAGAAGCTCTGTGCACACTGCAAGTGGCGAGGCGCAAGCCGTATCACCCGCTTCATCCAGATCAGCTTCGCAGTCACGAGTTTGCACCGCATCGGTTTCCATTTGCTTCAGAAGGAGACGCTGCCGGTACAGCTGCTGGTGCGAGAGCAACGGTGCATCTTCGCTAGCTTTGTCCACTGCAGTGTCCTTCCCATTGACGGCCTCAGCGATCGCAGATGTCCAGATATCAAAGTCGGACTCTGTGTCGGCGCATAGCTGAAACATCGCAACAAACAAAGGCACAATGCGTTGGTGTTAGGCTTTCAGAGAGCACCTACAGGTACAGCAGAAAAACAGGACCTCTGCATCGTCGTACCTTGTACTGGACACCGCGTTTCGTGTCGATATCGTGCAACGACAGTGTTGACACCTGAAAGAAATAGCGTGTCGGTGCGTTGCGAGCCATTGTCTTTTCAAAGAGCAGTGACACGCTCTCGGCGTTCAAGTCCAAGGCACCACGATACCATGGATGCGTCTCGTCCATATACAGCATGTTTTGTGACTGGGGCGATGGCTGCTCCTGGATCCGGTCCTGTGCTTGCTGGTTCCCCGAGTTGACCTCTTGCTCCTTCAGAATCGTGTCGGGGTTTCGGCTGGGCGGCTCTGCTTCTCTTGCAGTCGATCCGCCCAACGCCTTCGAGTTGTCCTGATTCGTATCATCATCATCGTCGGTTCTACTGCTTGGAGCGAGCGAAGCGGTTGTTGACCCGGTAGATGACTGCCGTGTCGTCTCCGAAGTTTGGTCACTTGAGGCAACTGCCGCGTCCGACATGCGCACGATGTTGCCATGGGACACTGACAATGGCATATGGTTGGCAGGATTGTGTCGGTAGTATGAGAGCACTCTGCGTCGCCGATCGAGCACGAACCATCTTCGGTGCCAAGACCTCTTCTTGCCCCACTTGCTGTCACTGATCTTGTGCAGGTAGCCACACACGTACTTGTTCGTGCTTTGAGACTCGGACGAGAACGAATGGCCAGTGGGTACAGTCGTTGCTGACTCATCGTTTGGCTGGTCACAGCCCTGCTGTTGATTAGCGCCCTGCGACTTGCCGACATGTAAGATACTGCGGCCGACGTGGCCAACTTTGGATATGCCACCACCAACGGCTTTGCCCATGTACCTCCCCATCTTCTGGACGCCATGCGAGCGTGGGATGCCGGGGCGACGCCGACCTCGCCTTGACTGTGTAGCAGACTCTACAGGCGGGTGAGCGGAATCCTGAGCAGGCAACGACGTCGCATCCATGCGTTGTTGTTCTGGACTACTTGCATCACTCGCGCGTGTACCGTTGCCATCCTGAACCACGGCACCAGTCTCTTTCAGAATGCTTGTAAGCTCGTCATTGCTGTTCATCAAAGAGGTGCTATCGTGGAATGAGCTCTGAGACATCTCCATCTCTGTGAGGTGGTCAGAGTCGTCGAGTCCGTCCGAGTCTTCGTCACCGCTGTCTCCACCACCGACAAAGTCAAATGAACTATTGAGCACGTTCTTGTTCGGCTCCTCTCGGCATGATGGGCTGCCGATCGAGTGGTCCCTGACAATTACACACGCGCTCAGTTCGTCAATGCCAACCCTCGAAGAACGGAAGGACCATACATCTTACGAGTTTGACATCGACTCTTCGGTGCTGCGAGCAGATGCTGGTGGATTTGCTGTGGACGTGGATGGTGGGAGATGAACTGCAAGAAACTGCAACACGCAGCAGAGTACAGCACATTGTCAAACCAGCTCATCGAAAACGGTCGATGCAAACATACAACAGGCCAAACCTCCACAACGTCTGCATATTGGCGCGCCCACGTCACAAACTGCGAACACGACAGCTTTCCTGCCATCGGGATGTTACACTCTTCAAACACAGCGTAGAGCTGCTTGGGTAGCACCGCGTACCCTTCCAGGTAATCGAGCAAGTACAGATAGTCTTTTTCCACAACAAAGCCTTCGCCATTACTGCCAATTCGCAGCAACCGAACAGATCACGACAACAACAACACCGGCCACAACGACAGACATTGCATCGTTGGTCCTTCCCGTCCTTTCGTCCTTCAACAAACAGCATCAACATCGTACTTCTCTCCAGTACTGACAATGTTGTACATGGTGAAAATGTAGCTGATACGGTCTTCCGTGTTGCCCCTAGTTATTGCAGCATACAGCCACACCAACCGGTTCATCAGCAAAAGCCATATCATAGCAGCAATCGAACAAGAACTCGTCACAGCGCCACCAACTCGTAGAATAGAGCCAAGATGCAGACGAACGACTCCTTCGAAATCGTGTCTCCCATAACATCTTCGAAGCACTGCATTGTAATATCTGTCACAACACTCACACAGTCATGACTTGAGCCATCGCACAGCATGTCGTGTTGTTGTTGTTGTTTGTCAACAAAGAAGAAGTGAGCACCTCCAAAGAGTCCGCGCAGTAACTTTGACGACACGAGGCCCTCCTTTTTAGCCACATAGTGCTGCTCCTTGTCTTCAACGGCATCTCCCTGTCATTATGTATGTTACAGACCAATGTACCACTTGTTATACATTTCCACTCTCTGTAAGTAAGTTGTCCAGTGATCAAGTGGGTATGACCTTAAACGTGAGCCACGCGACGGTAAACTCGCTGGCGTCGACTGTCAAGACAACGAATCAGATGAGAGCGGCCGTCAATCGAAGAGCCTTCAGCGTGGCAAGTGATCCGTCTTATCGTTTCACTGAGTGTGCCGTCCAAACGTATTCAGAAAGTCGCGTACAGGAACGATAGGGTCGACGCGGCGTGGAGGCCGAGGCGCCCATATGGTCGTCTTTTGATACAAAATGGGTCGGGGCAATCCGAACGTGACGCGTAACGTTTATTTAGACGTATACCAGGCACGCACAATGTGTACCACATACATCATCCCCCTCATCATCATCATCGCCCACATATCGTCGCATCGAGCTCGGAACGCGTCCCGTAACGGTCAATTAGCGTGCGCTATTCAAGTATACATCGACCGGTATACACGTGCGTGCTGGTCCGGGCGAGACCGTCACAGCGCGACGCGATGCAGCGTGCGACGGTCAAGTCGGACTCGCACGTCGTTCCGTGTTGTGTCCCCACTTGGAGCCACTCTGCGCTGCAACTGCCGTTGCCAATGCGCTCTCAGGACGTTCAGGCGCGGCGAAAGCAGCCGAAGGTCCGTCTCTTTCGTCTGCTGGACACACACGTCGTCCTCGTTGTCAACAGCGATGTCGAGTAGATGCTGAGGCACAGAGAACTCTTGCAGCACTATGTCCAGTGCGTCGCTCGGACTACATCAAAAGACGCCCAAAGGACAGTGCACGATCGAGTTAGAACAGTAGACGTAGAGATGCAGCAATAGCGATTGACAGAGCGATGAGACAGACAGACAGACAGACAGAGAGAGAGAGAGAGAGCAGTGGAGAGAGAGAGACTCGAGTTCTTACCTCGTGATAGCCGTCTGCACGAGCCACAAGGGGCAGAGGCCGAGACAGGTGTCCTGTGCGTGCCATCCATCCGACTCGACGGCAGTGCTGTCCTCTGGTGTCGTGTCGTACACGAACGGATAGCACAGCAGTCGACCTGCTACGGCACTGGCAGTCACGTTCGACGGTCGTTGCCACTCGAGCACGTGGCAACGAGCGCTCGTCGACTCGAGCAGAGCGCGGCAAGCAGAGACTGTCCAGCTCGCCAACGCGGTCGCCTTTGCCCTTCCAGCTGCAGAGCTAACGCTCACGAGCTCTGGGCGAGTGAGGTGGGCACTGACGTCAACGAGCACGGGCGCGTCGAGACCCGTTGCCAGCTCGAGCATCTTCTCGCGCACGAGTGCCGTCACGTGCACGAAGAAGACATTGTCGTCGAGCAGTACGGCACGCAGCTCCCGTGGATCGATCCACCGCCGTTGACTTGAGGCCGTGGCCTCGTCGTGCAGGAACTGCAGCACGACCGCTGCCAATTCCTTCGTCAGGGCACAGCAGTCCACGAGACACGACGGCCGCCGTCCTGAGGTGACGAGCAGCACGTCGCGAAGCAGTTGGCGTACGGTCGCTACTCGCACTTGTTTGGGCCGTGTTGGACGTCTGTTGCGACGTGTCGTTGCAAGTCGAGCGGACAGACGTTGCGTCAACGTAGAGAGCTCTGCACCACTTGGCCAACAAGTGGCTCCACAGGGTATTGTTGTTGTTGTTGTTGCTGCTGCTGTTGTTGTTGTTGTTGTTGATGATGCTGAGCGATGGACGAACCACGACGACGTTCGGAGCAGGTTACTTTGGTCATTGGACTCGAGGAACGAGTGGATGTCCGTCTCGAAGGCCAGTAGCAGACTCAAAGCTCTCGAGATCGCAGGACTACTACTACTGCACGCCATGAGATCAGAGACGCTAAGACAATGAGCTCCTGGTGACTGTTTTGATCGAGTGGAGCACGAAGACACAGACACTGACTGACTGACAGCTCAACGGTTTGTATACGTCTGACAGTTCTCTGGACCTACAGGTACTCGTGTCAGAAGGCCATCGTAGTAAATCGATCGACAGGGCGAGTAGACCTGTTCCGATGGCTATAGAGCTCTACATGGACGTTAGCCAGGCACGACAGGGCCGACCACACGGCTTTCAGTGCTCAGGAAGGCGTTCTGCATGATGAAGCTGTGCCTTCGGACACCGGACGGACTTCGTGGTCTCGAGTGCGACAGCAGACGTCAATGCGAACCTCGTGAGCTTTCGACGCCACACCTTACAACTTGAGGTGCTGCAACACCTCCGTGAGCGTCTCGTCCGGCCCGATCTGCCCGAGGTGTTCGCAGATGGCAACCCATGCCGTAAACAGCGCGTTCGCAGCGTCGTCACTGCACTTGTGCGCCATTGCGTAGCAAAACGACTCGACCGACGTGAGGAACATGATGACCGAGGGCCCCAAGTGCGGATTCGGGTTGTACACGTGCACGCTCTTCACAGTGAGACCCGGTGGCTGCTCGCTTGCGGTGGACGCAATGAGGTGTTCCTTCGTGTACGGATAGCAGCCCACGTTCGAGACGTTGACGTCCGACGTCTGCGAGTAGCGAATATTGACTGCCTTTGCAAGCGACGGCTTGACCCGGGCATGCAGCTTCTGGTCCATCATCACGGGCAGCGCCGCCATCATCGCAGGGTGCTCGAGGTTCACATCGATCTCGCGCTTGGCGCTTCGCGCGAGGTCCCAGAACCGCGTTGTCTCCATCTCGACGATCCCTTTGGCAGCAAACCGCGTGAGGTCCGTGAAGGCCACAAAGGCGCCGACCTGGTTCTCTTGGGCAGGACGGGGCACGCGGTGGCGCATGTTGTAGTCCACGTCGACGGCCACTTTGAACGGCTCACCCGGCCGACATCGAGGCTGCGGTTGCTGCATTGCTGCATGGTACAATGCGAGTAGGGCCGCGGCGACGATAGCCCCACCACACGTAACGCCCTGTGCTTTGCACGTGTCGAGCGACCGGTGCATGCAGGTGGCACTGCCTTCGGCAAACGACGCCGACGTGGGGTTCGTGACGGGCGGGACAACAAAGTCGTGCTGGTCGCTGCGGGGCGGCAAGAGCGGCGTGAACTTCTTCATCTCGCTGCGGTACACGGCTTTGCCCACGGACGCCATGACGAGCTTCAGCGATCCTTTGACGAAGAAGCTCTTGGATAGCCACATGTCGTAGACCGACGGACGAAGGGGATACTCGGGCGGAACGGGCGCACTTTCCAGCGGACTGAAGGCGTGTGTCGACAAGAGCGACACTTGCTCGAGGATGCAGTGGAGCACGGTCATGCCCGACTGTCCGTCCGACATGTAGTGGTCCGAGAAGAGCAGGAGCCGACATTGATCCGTGTCGTCCTGCACCCACAAGGTCAAGAAGAACGGCAGCTGCGAGTACCGGTCAAAGCCGACGTTGCACTCGTGTTCGGCATAGTGCGGCCACTCGGTCGCGAAAGCGCTGTCCGCCGCTGGGAAGCGCCGGAGCCGCAAGAGCTGCTTGTCGTGCACGTCGTCGAGCACGAGGGGAGCTTGGATCTCGACCAGGGGCTTCGTGCCCTTGACCTGAAGAGCGCGCATGCGGGGGTGTCGATTGAACGTGCGCACGAGCGCAAGCGGCACAAAGTGCTCGAGGGCTCTCACGTTGCCGGTCACGAGCATCGCGTGCACGATCTTCATCGAGACGCCATCGACCATTGTGAGCATCCGTTCGAAGCCCCGGAGCTTCACGCGTCGTGTCTTGGCAACGGGGCGTGTCATTGGGATTGGGATGCGTCAAGAAGGAGGAAGAGGAGGAGGAGAGCGGACGTGACTTGTCACGTGCTCAATCGACAGCTGCGACGTGCCGACGCGAAGTGGAAACCGGATCCCTGAAATCGTCGAATGTCGCTGACGCTCGAAACGAGCGGAGACCGTCAACGACAACCAGTGGCTGCTCGTCCGACAGAGAAGAGCTGGTACCACCGCCAGCGTTACACGCGAATCGGCTCTTTGGGAGCTGACTATACGTCGACGTGATCACTGCCTCCTCGTCCTTCTTGCATCGAGGTGACCTTCGGGCGTCACGAGGCTCTGAATTGACAGGTCACGCAGAAGGTCATGTGACAAAGGGAATGTGTATATGTTGCCGTGAAGTCCATCCAGACGACGTTTTCGCAGGTTGAACACCACGTCGGGACCTGATCTAGTAGCTGGAGTAGTATCGAGTAGTGTGCTGCTGCTGCTGCTGCTACTACTTCTACTGCTGCAGGTAGTGGCTCACTCGTGGTCTGTGTCGACGCGGGCCAAGACGTCCAGGAGCGTCTCGTCGCGTCCGATGCTGCCTACGCTTTCGAAGATCACCACGAGCGTCGTGAACAACGCGTTCGCGACGTCAGGCTCCACTTTGTGCGCCATCGAGTACCCGAACGCATTCACTGCCGATAGAAACACTGTCGCCGATGGCGCGAGATGAGGCAGTGCCTTGTACACGTGGAGACTGGCAATGGATAACCCATCGGGTGGCGTCGTGGAGTCGGTGCGTTCTGGTTGAAGGAGCTGCTGACTCGACGCTCCTTCGTCGTCCGACGAGAGCATCAGGTCACTGCTCCGTTGTTCAGGAGACGACGATGGAGATGGAGATGGCAACCCGCTTTGGCCGTGTGCTTCGGACCACGCGGTGAGCGAGTGGTGCTTTGCAAACGGGTACCGGACCACTTCGGCCACGCCGCCATCCGCTGTGACGGAGTGAGCGACCCGTACGTCCCGGAGGAACGAGACGTCCATTGTTGCATTGAGCTTCTGGTCCGCAGTGATCGTCGGCAGTGCCATCGATAGCGTGTGCTTGAGGTTCGTCTGCACCTCCCGCGTCGCTCGGTCGGCAGCGTCCCAAAAGCGCGTGGCCAGCACGTCGACGCCTTCGGAAGTGAGCCACCTCAAGTCGGTCGTCGCAGTGAAGAGCCCCACTTGGTGGTGGTCGTCATTGGGCGCTGGAGGGCACTGCACGTGCGGTCGCATGTTGCAGTCGACGTCCAGCACGACCCGAAACGGCGAAGAGCAGCGGCCTCGATGGCCAGTGCCAGTGCTCTGCACGCGGTAGAACGCGAGCAGCACGACCACAGTCAGCACGGCTTGCAACGTCACGCCTTCGTGTCGGCAGCGGCCCAGCGCTTGCTGCATGCACGTGGGTTCGCCATCGGCAAACAGCGCTAAGGTGCTGTTCGTGACGGGGGGTACGGCAAAGTCCTGCTGGTCGCTTCGAGCCGATACGAGCGGCGTGAACCGGTGCACGTGGCCCCGAAAGAGGCGTCGACCGAAGAGAGCGGTCGTGCCTTTGAGCAGCGGCTTGGCCCATGTGAGTCGCTTGAGCCACAGGCGGTAGAGCGACGGAGGCAGTGGGAACTCCGTGGCAGTCGGCATCAAGGGCACGTGGTGCTGGGCACGAGCGAGGAGCGATATCTGCTCGAGGAGGCAGTGGAGCACGACGACGCCCGAGAAGCTGTCCGACATGTACTGGTCGGAAAAGAGCATGAAGCGCGCGTAGGCCTTGCGCTTGGCCATCCACACGGTCAGGTAGAACGGCAGTTGGGTGTACCGATCAAAGCCAATGCTGCACTCGCTTTCGACGAACGCTTGCCAGCTCGAGGGGGCCCCGTCGCCATAGTCGGCCGGCGCGAGCATCCGCACGTGGAGTAAGCTGGCAAGGTCTTCGGCCGTCACGGGTGCTTGGATCTCGGCCGTGAAGAGCTCGTCACGAACCTGAAGGGCTCGCATCCGCGGGTGCATGTTGAACGTGTTGAGAAGGGCAGTGGGGAGGAACCGAAGGAGGTTGGCCGTGTCTCCCCGAACGAGCATCGAGTGGGCGAGCTTCGTGGACACGCCGTCAGTGGCCGAGACCATGCGCTCGACGCCTCGAAGGGAGACTCGGGTACCTGCAGGTGGACCGCCCGAGGTGTCGTGTTTCATAATGAGGGGACGTGGAGGTGAACTCTCCTGCAACAACAACAAGGAGCGAGGGAGTGTGTGCAACGGATGCTGTCGAATGGATAATGACTATGCGAGCGAAGCGCAGAAGAGCACACGATGCAGCTCTGATGGGCTCTTCACGACAGCTTTGACACGCGCATGTGGCCGAGTCATAGCATTGCAGGGGTCTGCATGATCGACCTGCAAGAGACGACGTCTTCTTCTTCTTCTTCTTTGCTGTCAAAACTCGTGGGTTGTCCTCGTGCTCTTGTCGGCAGACGGCATCGGAGCTACGAGGCCTTTCAACGTCAAAAGAGCTCTTCATGTTGTGGTGAGAGCTCAACTGCGAGTCGAGTTGTCTTGTTCTGTCCATTTGAGCTGACGAAGGAAACGCATTTGTCGTTCGCGAGAGTTTCTGCAGACAGCAAAGGGGTTGCAAGGGACGACAGGTCAGCAGCAGCTACGACTTTTTGGGTTGTGACGAACAGGTCAGTGCGATGTCAAGAACCATTGAAGAGGTCTGCCGTCACGCAGTTGCCTCGTCAAGCTGAGCGACTCGTTGCAAGCAGATGCCTCGGGACCACACTCAATCGAGCAAACAGTCGACTCCAGACGACCGGATTCGTGAGGAACACCTGATGTACAACAACCGAATGGCAAAGGAGAGATTGGGATAGCAGAAGGTGCGCTAATGCTGTTGAGTGAGACCCTCTGGCGTCTTCCCCAAGCCGGTGGTCACCACCTCTTGACCATGCGGCAGTGTATGCGATACCTCACTTCGATGCACAGCGCTGCAATTGCAGACACACTGCAAGTGGATGTGATGGATCTGCTCATCCACGACATGTGCTGGCTGGGCTTGGACCGTGGCCCCCACATCTGTGCGCAAGTAGTCCAATAGGTCTGCAAGAGTATGGCCAAGTCAAGGTCCTATGGCACGCCATCGAGGCAAAGACGCCGCCGTCACAACGGAACACATGCACACCTCACACAGTCACATGTTGACATCTTCTGCTCAACTCATCAGACGCACGATCAAGCAGCAAGCACTGGCCACGGTATATTCTCCGCCACACGCACAGTCGTTTGCAAGTTCCGTGGCCTACATGCTCCCGCCTCATTTGGCATAAGGGCAGTCAACGCCATTCATCTCGACGTACACGGACTTCAACTGCGTCCACGACTCAACGCCTGCTAGACCGTTTTCACGACCGACGCCAGACTTCTTGTAGCCACCCCACGGCGTTTCCACAGGTGCGAGGTTGTAATTGTTGATCCACGTTGTGCCAGCCTGCAGCTCATCAATCATGCGGTGCGCGCGTGTAATGTCTTTGGTAAAGACACCCGCCGATAGACCAAAGCTCGTATCATTCGCCCGAGCCAACACCTCCTCCTCGGTATCAAATGGCAAGATACACATGACCATGCCAAAAATCTCTTCACGCACAATCGTCATGTCGTCGCTGCAGTCGACGAAGATAGCAGGCGTCAGGAAGAACCCCTCTTTGGTCTGCTCCGACGGCACAATGCGTTTACCTCCTCCTTCCAGCAAAGTCGCTCCTTCGGCTACACCCTTTGCAATGTAACTCTGCACAAGTTCCATGTGCTTGGCGTGGATCATGGGCCCAATGTCCGTCGTTGGGTCCATGGGGTCGCCAATGCGCAGCTTCAGCGTGCGTTCGTGCACGCGGTGCACAAACCGATCAAATATCTGCCGCTGCACGTACACGCGCGTGCCATTCGAGCACACTTGTCCAGACGAGTACCAGTTGCCCATCATGGCGCCCGCAACCGCTTCCTCGACGTCTGCATCGGCAAACACAATCAACGGCGACTTGCCGCCCAGTTCCATGGTCACTTTCTTCAGCTTCGCGGCCGCGCGCGCGTACACGTGGGCCCCCGTGGCAATCGATCCCGTGAACGAGACTTTGGCCACGTCGTCGTGTTGCACCAGTGCTTCGCCCGTCGCGCGCGCGCCCAATACGACATTAAACACGCCGTCCGGGACCCCTGCGGCGCGGTACACTTGCGCCAACTTGAGCGCCGACAGCGGCGTCTCTTCCGACGGTTTGAACACCATCGAGTTGCCAAACGCGAGCGCTGGGGCCGACTTCCACGCGGCGCTTTGCAACGGGTAATTCCACGCGCCAATGCCCACCGTCACGCCCAGTGGCTCGCGCTTCGTGTACGCCCAATTGCCGCGCTCGAGCGTCACGTGTTGGCCGCCTATCGAGGGACTCACACCGCTATAGTAGTAGAGGCAGTCGCTCGCACTGGCGACGTCCGTCGCACGCGTCTCTGCAATGGCCCGTCCCGTGTCGAGCGTCTCGAGCGTCGCGAGGCGGTCGGTCTCGGCGGTCAAAAGGTCCGCTGCTTTGCGCAATACTGCGCCTCGTTGCGCAGGACTCAGCCGTTTCCAGTGCTGCTGCGCCGCCTGCGCCGACGCGACGGCCTCTTGCACTTGGGCAGACGTCGCTGCATACACAGTCGTCTCGGGAGCGCCCGTGGCGGCGTTCAGGAGCGTGCTACAGGCGCTGGAAGGCGACGTCACGGCGGCTTTGCCATGGATAAATGACTGGACGACACGCTTTGTAGCCATGTGGGTCGACGGACTCAGATCGACTTGTGCGCGGGATCAGAGGCAAATCGACGACGAATCTCGCGAAAGGGAAGGAGAAAATCGCAGCGGTGCAACCTCCGTGCAACCTTCGTGCAACCTTCGTGCAACCTTCGTGCAACCTTCGTGCAACCGGTCGCGCCCTCGCCACGGCCTTCTCATGTTGATGGCGACGCACGTGGTCACGGTCCGAATGGTGGTCCCGAGCGCCGCGTTGTGTCGCTTGTCCTGCCGTAGTGGCCACTGCTACCACTTACCCACTCAGCCTATCTCGTCTGCAGCTGTCTTGCGCACCTCCCGGGCCATGTCGCAGCTCCGAACGCGCTCTATGCGCGCTGCTAGCCAGCGAGTAGTGGTTCCAAGTCGTCGGTTACGTGCAGTTTCGAGCCATAGCGCCGTGCTGCGTTATTCCAGCCGCGCTAATGCTTCCGAGACGATGATTGCGCTGCCTCCTGACTACGTGATCTACAAGGACGATGTGCATTGCTTTCTAGGCCCAAATGGCAGCGGCAAGACGCAGTTTCTGACCAAGTTACAGCTCCATGTAAAGACGCAACAAGCGCGAGGAGAGATCGCGCCATCGTGGCGTCTCGCCAATCTCAGTCTTGATGCCCATCGCGAGTTTGTGGCGGAGCATGGACGCCGCGTGGTCGCTGACGTGCTGGGCGGTATTGGCTCCCCAAGAGCACGGGATCTTATTGTCCGTCTCGGTCTTTTTCCAGTGTGGGAGCAGCAAGTGCGCCACTTGTCGACAGGGGAAATGAGGAAACTACTGCTGGCCGTGTCTTTATTGGAGACTCCTCGAGCTTCCGTGTTGATCCTCGATCAACCGTTTGATGGACTGGATGTCAAGGCCAGGAGACAGCTGCGATGGATGCTTAGAGAATTGACGCGAGGATTTACAAGGCTCTTGGTCGAGACGACGGGCGCCAAGCACGAGGCATTCGCGTACAAGACGCAGGTGTTGGTAGTTGCCAACCGTCTGGACCAAGTGTTCCCCGAGATCTTTACGCACACAGTCTTGATGAAGCAGGATGGAGACACACCGTTTGAGATGCTGGCATGGCCGGGAGCGAGAAACGATGACGTACGCAACAACGCAATGATGAAAAGGCTCGAAGCGTTTTATCGAGATGAGTATGAGAAACGAGCAAAGATGACGGACACGGAACTATTCTCGCTTGTTGAGCAACTGTTTGAATGCAAGAAGGATGCTGTGTCTGGTCACATGCAGGCCCTTGCGGTGCAGCTGCGTGGCGTTTCGATCTCGTACAGCCGCAAGAAGGTATTGCTGGAAGATGTGAATTTCGAGCGGCAAGTTCACGAACACTGGGCTTTGCTTGGACCAAACGGCTCGGGCAAAAGTTCGTTGATGCGTGTGCTGATGCAGACGCCAGGGCACGGATTGATAGGGGGCAGCGTGATGGTTGTCGGTGAGCAGGTGCATGTTTCTGGCTCACGTTGTTCCAGCACTGAATCTTTTGCGGACTCTAGGCCAACAGTTGAAGCCATATCGACGGATCAGCACATTCAGCTCCTGCACAAAAGTCTTCAGTCCGGCCAAGAAGAGGCTCAATCTGCACTCAGTCTGATTGAACACAACGCTGCCAGTCCTGAAGCTGTGGAGCTAGTTGTGCGCATGCTGCTTTTACCCGATGCCGTGAAGACCCGTACTCTGTCTCGACTGTCGCAAGGAGAGCAGAAACTCGTTTTGATTGCTCGCGCTCTGGTCGCACGACCGCCGTTGCTCATACTGGATGAGGTCACACACGGGCTCGACCCATTCAATCGCGCCCACGTGCTGCGTGTCATTGACGCTATCGGACAACACGCTGCATGGAAAACGCATCTGGTGCTCATTACACACCACGAAGAGGAGATCACTCCATGCTTTACGAGGGTGTACGAAATTCACGACAAACAGCTTGTGGAGCGTTCTACTGTCTAGACAAGCGACAAATGTCGATCCGACATTCTACACAGTCGCTCGATCCAGCACTGTTGCGATATAAAGCAGCGCACGACAAAATGTGGGCGATTTGTAGCGACACTTCCGGATTTTTGGGAATTGGTTCACCAAGCTTCCGATTATGAGACGCTCATGGTGCCATGTTGTGGTCCTCGACTGGCAAATGTTGCTATCTGGAAAAATGGTTGGCAGCCTTTTGCGACTTTATCACTGTTGACGAACTCTTGCAAACAATGGTACACATGTATGGTTTGCCACCGAGCGGTGTCGATATTTTTTTGTCGAGTACGTTGTGGCAGAGCAGCGTAAGATGCAAATTTACTTTGGTGCGAGGCGCTAAAAGTGGCAACAATGATGACGGGTAGAGCAGCAGAAGTTTCTGAGATGGCGTCCATCGCGCAATTGTTGAGCGAAGACGCGCGCCAGTGGAAGCGAAAAGGACGCGATGAAAGTATAGTCGACACGCACGCACACACTTGCGACGAAAATTGTCTGTTTGTTGATGACATTTTTCTTGAGCTGTCACTTCCTACTGCTGTTTTTGACACTCGTGTTGGGAAAACGTCTCGACTTGTCGTTTGCCAATTGACTTCCCCGATCAAACCAAAACGGAAAAAATGATATGGACAATGGGATCCATTTACCGAAAGTGTACGACGTGTATATGTTTTTTGTCTTTCGTGGCAGTGCTGGTCGAGTTGGCTGTTGTCGCTGAAAGAAGGGGCGTGATGTGCCTTTAGTTGACGCAAATGAGCGAAAATTGGTCAAGACGCAGGTGGAGAAGATCGAATTGAGTCATGTGTCGGTGTCCGCTTCCTTGTCCTACTTTAAATGCCGATCATCGATGATGCTTTTCTACAAAGACTTTTATGTTCGTGAACCGGTGCTGAACGACGTCTAATGTCCACTCTGCCAGCCGCAGCGTAGTCTGACTTGCCACCATTCCCCCGCGTGCCCGCTCTTTTCTACGATGGTGCAGATTCGGCTACGTCCCCAATAATTCCCGCTGACGTCGTCGGACATCGATCTCAGGATTTTACCTTTAACTACCAGATGATGTGGCTGGCAAGAGGTCGACGGCCCCTTTCCGTGTGCTACGCGTTTGGCTGTGGCAAATTCACATACATGCGTCATCGCTTTGTTTGTCCAGCCGAAGATTTATCTCCACGGCGGCCACCACGCAGTGTATTTCCTCGAAAAGCATACATTGTTCAGCGCTATTTGCTGCGCGTAGTGAAGTAACAGGCTCCTGCAGTATATTGCTGCCGAATGCCTTGTTGCTTCTTGGTGCATCGGTGCCACGCCAGCCAGACTATCCGAGACTGGGTCGGCATGAACCCATGATTTGGGTGCCGTAAGAGTCGGTGGGAGGTACCGGACGTGGATGCTAGTCTCAAATGTTCGGATCGACCTGAACTTCAAGCAAAGGTTTGCACTGGCCACTAGTACCTCATGCGCGAAGCTCTCCAGCGACGGCAGTTTGTCAGGTCAACTCAATACGACGAGGACAAGCGAATGTATCGACTACAACAAGAAGGACGAGATAGATGCTCTGTATTGCACTGCACTCAGACTACTCTAGCAGACAAAAGCCCGAGTAGACTGTGAGCAATACGATAAGGAGCATTTATACCGAGATTTTCTGGATGGGATAGTCGGCGCCGACGAGAAAGCTTCAAGATAGCCTCACAAGCTTCATCAAGGATGCGCACATTCGGTTTGGAGAATCCTTCCGATCGGAATTCGATGCACGAACGCCTGAGACGTATGGTAAGGTTGCTGCTTCGTGGTGGTTTGCGCTAGCTGTGCCCGATCAAATCCGATCAGTTTTTGTAAGGCCGGGGGTATAAACCGATGCTTGCTCTGTTGTATCTCTTTCGAATTCATGCAGCCTGTGTACACAAGCACGAGTTAGGAGTGACACGCACGTGCTGAAGACATAGGACCGCGTTCTTCGAACTCGTACCGAAGAATCGACTGTGACTAAATGCTTTGTGACGTATAGTTGTAGCGTCAGGTAAAGCTGGCCATAGTATGTGCTCGCAGAAGCAGTAGATCACGATCCACTTGACACGAGGATTATTGATCTGCACAACGCTCCACCTATACGTGACCCCATCCTGTCATCTGACTTACTATATGGCGTGTCAGTCGCCCCGTCCGGTCGCTAGACATCCCCGCACACGTGGCACTCTTGCCTCGACAGCATTGCCAGTTCAGCTCTCACTTCGACTTTCGCTGCATCCAGCACACTACCCGATACACTAATCAGCAATCTTGATCGACCATGAACATCAGCGCTGGCATGTGCATCATCTTTGCACGGTCATCCCCATTTCGTCCGATGGCGAATGCATCTACTCCCACCCTTGCGCCGTGACAGGAGATGCATTCCTGAACTCCTTGAAGCTTTGTCGAGACAACTACCATGATCCTTCGGAGGAACTGAGAGCTTGCTGCAATGACTGCTGCAGAGGCCCAACCACGATGTGCCCGAAGCAAAGATGATGACTCGGGGATGTAGCAAAGCTGGAATGGCGCTGTCTCGTGAGATTTTATGAGTAACTTCCGAGCCATCTGCGATACTGCGCGCGTCTGCTATCCTACCGCCGACTGCACCGATCGCTGGTAACGAAGTCTTGTGTACGAAGCAGTAGTTACTTGATCCACAATTCTTTTCTCGTCCATTGCGTGTCTGCTGGTTGCCGCGCAGGTAAACATGAACTGCGATCGTATGCACACACACTGTAGTAACGCAGATCCGCTACGTACGAATGCACGCGGTTTACATCCACCACGACGTTGCAAAAGGAAGACACAACGTATCTGCCGTCGACACTTGAGTGCACGGAAACATCGGGTGTGGCCCCGCTAACGTAAAGCCGTGTCTTCGTCGAGGACGAAGGTACAAGACCTTTACGATGCCTTCACAGTAGATCTGGCATCAATAACGACACTGTAGCTCTTACGCTCAGCACATTACAATAATGATCGCGTGATAGAATCACGACATCTTGTGACAACGCGCTGACGCAGCACTACTCGTGCACCTAAAGACGATTCCGTTTTGTCACGTGCCCAAGCATTCAGAATGACCGCGTGAAATGCCTTCGCATATTTGCTTTCAATTTGCTTTCTGCTTTCTACTTCTACGCTTTCTACGCACTGTTTCATCCTCAGTGGAAGCATGAGGCATTGCGTTATCGAGCGTGGAATCACGTGGTCGATATAGTCAGGTAAGGAGAGAGCTGCAACTGAATTCGAAGGGTCGAACCGCATGTGGAAACGGGTTTGTCCCGACGCGACACCATAACTCGCCGACTCGTAACTCGGCGGAGATGCTGTGTTTGTACCCTACTGCGGTTTGCCCAAGTGCTATACCTGCCACATCACAGGATACTTACGGCCTATGTCGCGACCGTGGGCAGGTGACACGAGCTGCAATATGCAGACGTAGGTCTTGTTATTCTCAGTCGAATCCAAGGGGAAAGCAGAGGGCTGTCAGGTTGCTTCGATAGCATGTAGCGTTCTGCGTGCATTGGTCACGTGCCTTCCACCATGAGGATTTTGGCAAGCAAGTGCATATGCCATAGAATACAGGTCTTCTACGACGTGATCCTCGTTAGTCGGTGGAAACGGACGATGATACAATTGCCCTCTTCGACATCTCCTCGAGGGTGTGTTGCTGCAGCACAGTCAGCCGTCGGACCGTGTTCTTGCCACCTATCGATGGCGTGAAGGGACCTCGAAAAAGAGGTCCAGCTTGTTAGATGTCACAGTTGCCCTAATTGGCAAAGGTCGGCTGTCTTCACATTGGCAATGTTTGCAGTGTGCGTCTGCATGGCGGCGCTGGAGCTGACTCGTAAGACTCTGACTCGCCTCTATCTGCGAGACCTTTGCTTGCCTCGATCAGAGAGACTCGAGGACATTGTCGAGCATGTTCGCGTCACACTAACTGCGACAGCGCAAGTACGATGAATGACGACACAGATACAGATACGGACTGCTAGGAAGCACAAGACAGGTAATGGACGATAGACGCAGTGCAAAGTCAGAAGCTCGTGTTCAAAACGGACGCATGCAACGGGGCGGTGAGGCACTTTGTGCTTACGATGTGCCGTAGGACAGTCCGCGACCGTCACAATCGCTCCCTGAACCAGTAGCAATTGCTTCGCGCAAGCGAGAGTAGTGGCGGTTGCGACGACGTTGGCGGACCCTCAAGACTGCTCCGAGCACCATCGCAGACACGGCGCACAAGAAGAAGAGCGGAGACGTCCAGTACGTGTTCTCTTCCAACACAGCATCGACCGAGTTGCTGACCAGCGATTCCTGCTTCACCACGTCGCTCCCGAATAGTCCACCATGAGGCACAATGACATCGTCGTGACGAGCACAAGTGGGTGGGCGGCGGCCGCTCGTGCACGTGCATTTCGCTCCTGGTCCTTCCGGACAAAACCCGTAGCCACCGCAGAATGGCGTAATCGAGCCATCCGTGATGTAAACGCCCGCCGACAGCCAGCACGGGTCAAGCGTTGGCTCCTCCATCTTTGCTCCACTAGCAGCCGAGAACTTCGATGCATCGCACGTCTTTGCAGCCACCGACTTGCGGGGCTCTGGGAACGCGACAGCGTCGCTATACGCGGCGGGGTTCGATAGACATCCTTTGTCATCGCCGTCGGCAGCGCAATTGTATGCTGGCAGTTCGCCAGCACCGACACAAACTTCAGGATCCAGTGTTTTGTAGAACCCCGCCACGTTCGAGTCCATCCATTGAGCACGCGCTAGAACAGCGTTGACTAGATCAGCCACGGCATCGTCAAACGTCCCCCTTGCATTCGCATTGACATTCGCACACTGCAGGTTATCGCTCTTCCACGCGCTGCAGTGCTTCAACTGCCGACGAAGCGGCTCGGCACTTGCTTGGAGAAACAAGTGGATGGATTCGTCACTCCACGTGGTCGCGCGCAGCTTGGCCCATCGCTGCTGCACAAGCGACGCGAACTTGTAATTGCACACCAGACGCTTCCAGAAGGTATGGCCAGTGTACAACCAAGTCGTTTGGCGGCCGCCTCGTCCGTACGCCAAGTTGAAATCCCAGACAGGACCAGCATTGATGGGCTGGCTACGGTCCTTAAAAAAGTACGTGCTGCGACGATACGCGTCCGAGTTCTCGGACAACTCCGAGTGCAGGAAGTAGTCGACGAACGAGCCAATGTCAATGTGCTCTTCGAGTCCATCCGGGTGCGTCATATTGGCGTACAAGTACTGATACAGCCGAGGCAGCGGTCCCGTCTCGGGCGACACAAAGTAGTCCCGCATCGTTTGGGTAAGCACATTGGCTTCGGGGTACGTCAAGACGGGTCGAGCGCCCGAGCCAAAGAGCCCCGTGGCATCGTCCAGCACAATGTTCGGCGAGTAGTCGCCGTACCCCAGTGGGTTGTTCTGCCACGCCCAGCCTCCCGAGAGTTCGTCCGTGGTCTGGCACGCACTATTGAGCGGCGCCAATGCCACGCGGTTGCGCGTGTACGCGATCTTCTCGAGCGCCAAGTAGATCCCACGGTATCGCGGACTCCAGTCGTCCGCACTCAGGCGGTCCCGTACAAACACAACAGCGTGACGGCTTCGAGGCGAGTAGCGGTCCGTGCCGCGGAACATCCAGTGCGCCAAGTGGTTCCGCAGCAGACTCGCGTCAATGGTCGGGCCATTGAGCACAAACGTGCGGTCCACAGGGAAGCCCAGCAACGCGCCGTCTTCGTGCAGGTCCACGGCAATCTGGTGCTTGGTAAAGTGAAGACTCGACTGGCCGCGGTAGTGGGCACTCGCAGCGTAGACCGCTGTCCGCGCGCCGTCGAGGCAGTTGAGTGTGCCGTTGGCATTGTCAATGACCTCAATCGTGGCTTCCACGGGGTCGCTCATGCAGTCGCGGGCCGGGACGCGCGGCTGGTTGCACGTCTCGGTCGGGAACTTGGCCGCCGTAGGGCTCACGACGACAATCGGGAGCTCGAAACATGCTGCACGGGGGATACAGTAAGCGATTATCGACACACAACAGCGACACGTCACAATGGGCAGTAGGACGACCAGGAGGAGAGGACGATGGGGGGACTTGTGGACAGGTGGGGTTTTGTACCCACTCTGTACCCAGTTCGACAACCGAAGCGCCATGTAACGTACTGGCTCGATGCGCGGCCACGTGGGGCACGAAGTTGCGATGCAGGGCGAGGCCCACTATGCTCAGAAGCTGCAGGAGTGCTGACGGTTTCATTTCGCGTCGGAATGCGCTGAGGGAGTGCGACGGAGTTGAACGAGCAGTCACAGGACGACAGGCACAAAGACAGAGACAGTCGTCACTTGTGTCCTTGCGGTCGTTTTGAAAAGTGAGCGGTGCAGTAGTGACAAACGGATAAAATCGGTGACCGATCGATCGCATGTCCCGTCTCGTGGACGATATTGTTGTTGGTGTTGTTGTTGTTGTTGTTGTTGTTGTCGGCTGGTTCGTGTGGTGGTTTTAGATCGCGATCTTTGTAGTCTCGTTTTGGATTGGATAAAACCTTGCGCGGGCGGGTAACCTTCGTGTACCCCATGCGACAAACACGGCTGTCGCGCTTGCTGTCGCGCCGGATGTATACGCACAATTTCGGATCTTGCATTGTATACCTCTGTGCGCTCACTCGATTGCTTGTGAAAGTACGTGCATGGTAGTCCAAGTTTTTTTCCCTCTCCAGCTGCCGAAAGAGAACATGTATATGTCCGGCATTGGACGTCTCTCTCGATCCTTGCTAGAAACTAAGCGAGCACTAGTGTGCGATCGCGTTCGAGATATAGCGCTTGACGTTCGATACGCTTCCATTCAGACAGTGTCCCGCATCATAAACGTATCAGCTGATTATTCTGCGAACCTGCTGCATCGTGCGTGCGTGCGATAAGAGCTTCCAAAGCGGCCTACCATCCTGCAAAGATATGACGAGGTCCCAGCGCACAGAACGAAGCGATCGAAAGGTGACGGGCGAAGTACTCGCCGCGGCATTTTCTCGATGGCCAACGTACGAAGTAGAAGACACAATCGCAGATAACCTCACAGCTGGTGTTCCATCTACACGACACCTCGGCGACGCATTACATCTTTACAAGGCGCGGCTCGCACCCGCTGTCCGCACGTTGATCTTTGGCGTTTCCAACTGCAGATGTGGCACTTTTTCCGATGGTTTTTGTGAGCCATCGAAACGGTCATTTGACTGCACAGATAGATCACCACCGAGTTCTTTGCAGTTTTACTCAACTGGACAGGTTTTCGGATTCCATTTGGTACTGCTTAGGTACGCACACGTGCACGGCCTATGAAGATGTCCACGTCATGACTGCGCAGACAGGCGGGACGCTGACATCTTCGAAAACTGCGAGGCGCGTCATGAGAACTGGACAACTTCCAGTCAGTTGGACATGTTCCCCGCGATACAGGATAAGAAATGCCGCTGTCCCGTGTTGACAACACAATGCTGCTAATGTCGATTACCGGGCAGCTAGGACGATATGACAGCACCACAACAAGGCGTCGGTTGTTTGGGATTTGTCTCGAAGCAGTGGGGTGGGTAGCAGCATTACCATAGATCGAATTTTCCGTCCCCGCTAGACTGACCTCGTATCCGATATCGAAGCGGGCTACAGTCTATCGCGCTGCTACTGCATCAACCCCAATGCAGCAAATGCGTCGTAACGTCATCTCGATCGACAAAGGGAATAAGCCAAACGATCTCTTATGGCCCGACCTTCGAATAGCTACTGCATCCTTATCACCAGAGCATGTCAAGCCAGGAAGCGCTTCTGCAGCCTGTAAATAGTTTGCTGGCTGAGTTCGCTTCGTACGAACTGAAGAGGATATTGCCCATCCGGCCTTAGCACAAGTGGCAGAGGGTTCCACAACGATGTCGATCCTGAGAAGAGGTTCACAAAACTTTGGCGAGAGAGCTGATCTCGAAACAGCTCGTTCGCGGATACGGACACAAAGTACGTCATGTCATTAGTGTCCTTCGAAGGAGAGGAAGGGTCGATGGTGTCGTAACTGAGTCGGAGGTCCAACGTCAGCCTCGCAACGCAGTTGCAAATCGAGCGACAGCGGGGAAAGGCGACTATGCGCTTTTCTGCTGTCGCTCACAAAGTCCCGCAGTGCAGCTACAAGCTCGTTAGACGTCGAGAAACACGCTTCGGTGTTGTTCATTGCTGGTCGATGCTGTCTGCAAGTGCAACATGAAAGACCACGGCAGGCGGTCGTAGTAGAGGAAAATGTATTCCTGCGTACGTCATAGCTAGGAGTAAGGAGCAGCCATCGAGGATGGCACGTGCAGCAGCAGCTCCTTCTTCTTGTCACTAGCGCGTCTACTTGCATCGAGTGTTGCGTGGTGGAGCTCCAACTACCGAGGAGCAGCGTTACGGTCAAGCGCCACTGAGTCTGCAATGTTGTCAGGGCAACATGTATCGCTAGTAGCTAATGGTAAGCAACAGCATCGGCCAAGGCTGAACGAATGTAAGGTAAGAATGCAACAAGGAGCGCCGTTGCAGCAGCATCCCGGGGTCCCGACGCAATGCCAATCTTGTTCGATGCACCAAAGGCTATCGAGCTTGTGCACGTGAGTGAGTGGGAAGGTGATCTGTCTCCGTCACATTGCGGTGGCCGTGTTGACCATCAGCATGCAAGCTCTTGTTCTATGCGTTTTTCTGCGCGAAGCCAAATGTCCGAACTGCAATCGTTCATATCGATCATTATGCCGACGTCAGCAAGCGCAATTGCCAAGTCGATGGAACTTGATGCACTTGCATTCATTGTGAGCTACTGCGAACGCGTCAGTGCAATGTCAAAGGTGCTCATCGTACGTGCAGTGCATGAAGAATGGCGATATATGCATTGGTTCGGTGATTGCTTCGTCACAGTGCGAGCTTCTAGCACGGAATCCAGTCGACGAGCGCCAAACGTCAGCTTCGGCAACAGTGGATTGATTGCATGCATTTGTCTGGTGGGCCTTTTGAGAACGGGTTCCGCTATTGGTACTTCTGTGACTCAATCGATGTCCTCGTAGCTCACCTCTGCGCCGGCAAACGGAAGAAACTCGTAGCCATACGTGTTGTGCTGTGCAGCGACACTCACTCGCATAACTTTGCGGCATACTCATATCCTCGCGAATTGTGACACATCGTCATGACGGGCAGATGTATCGCCATCTCCGGTCCATTCAGATGCAGGATACTCAGACTCGGGTGATAGGAACACGTACGGTACGGAACGTCCACATACTTTCTTCAACTAAGCTAAAAGCGACGTGTCCTCGCGACCAAGACCGAAACACTCAGCACCTGTCGATGAGGGGTTTGCAAGCCATGCAAAGTAAAGCGCCTCGAGAGTTTCTAGGCACACTCGTTTTCTGCACACACACACACAAAGACCGGTCCATTTGTTCTTGCCCTGGTGGATGTTTCCGGTGCCATCCAAGCGCTTACGCAAGCAAATCCGATAGACGTGCACGTGTAAGTAGGAACGTTTGCCAGGACAAACTCGAAGGGTCCAAAGCATCTCAACTGCCCGTGACGGGCATTTCCGTCGACTCGTTTGCTTTCCTTTCTACCACGTCGCGACGGGTGTTATGCGTGAGACTTTGACGCTTCTACCACAGTCTATAACTCTGCCGAATACTATGGAACTGCTTCAGCGTTTATGTTGTCCGTTGTGCAAAAATGACGAATGGTGAAGCTGCGAAATGGAAAACAGCAATCGATCGTTCGACCGCTGACATACTCCGGATGCAAATGTCGGCTTTTGGCAGCGATATTGTCGTTAGCTCACTTCTCCTGACAAGCAGATAGTCAAGAGGGGTGTGCGCGTTCGAGAGCCTATGGAGCGTAACCATCGATAGAGACAATCTACGGTGCTTTTGCACGAGCTCGTCTTCTTGATGAGATGCAGGTTAGCTTCGTCGGTAGACCCTTCGACGTTCCATTTGTCAATGACTTAGGTGAGCTACCTGTAGCGCCAACTGGATGTGCTTGTTGCAAGCTGCACGCCGACAAAGTCGGTCCGGTACTGGAACGTGCAGCACCACACACCATCGAGGTAGCAGCTGCGATTTGGTGCCACACTTTTTGTGATGACGTGACGTGCACATGCCGTCGTACAACCCATGCGTAACCAGGTGACAAGCAAACAATGCTCTACCACTGTCAGAATTGGACAAGCGTAAACTCGCGTTACGCACCTCGTGCGCTCGATTCGCAGTGTATGCTGTCGCATAATATCGAGAGCTACATAATGGACGTGGAAAGGATCACCTTAACGTCGAAGGCAAAAGCGTACAACCTCTCGGCTGCATCAGCGCCCTCCTTTTCATCGTTCCAATGATTCGTACAAGATACACGAAACCTGCATGCTCCACTAGCTCATCACCCAGACAAGGTCATCAGAGCGATCAGAGCGCGTGCTGATACAACGACCGAGTCCATTTGCACGTCTTCGTGAGTCAGGTTGCTGAGGAACGACAAAACTGCGAGAAAGGATTGCACGTGGCCGTCTCCACCCAACTCGATTTGTAGATCCACGTAACGCGAAAGCAGACCCAGCAGCGCGAACGCGTCCTGGGTCAAACCCCAGCGAATCCGGTCGCTCACCAGTTCTTGCACCACGCCATTGTCTCCACTAGTTCTTGCCTCGAAAGTCTCCTGATCCAAGAGCTGTACGAGGTGATAAAGAATCGACCGATGCCCATCGACATCACTGTATGGACCGTATGTGCTCTCCAGCACGAAACGAATCCCTTCGGACGGAAACGACGTGACCGCCGTCCAAAACACTTTCACAATCTCGTGCTGGAAAGCGCGCATATTGCACGCTTTCTCCATAGACAGATCACTCTTGTTGCACGATAGCATCTTTGCGCATCGATGAAAGAGCAACGATTGCTTCGACTCGATCTTCACTTCTGCAAACACTTCGGGCACTCGCAGCAATTGAGACAGCAGACTGAGTGCTTGTGCCTTGACAGTGAGGTCACTCTCTGCTGTCATCAAGATGCACGGGATGCTTTTACTCGCTAGCAGCGGCTTAAAGTCGGGCACCAGTGCAGAATAATGGGCGAACGCGAGATCCGCCCAGACACAGAGCACACGTAGACTGTCCATCACGACAGCAGCCTCCTTGATATTTCCCTCGATCACGCGGCAAAGCGCACCCATCAGCTTATGGCGAAGCTCGTTGTGTGCGGTCGTCGATTCCGTCTCGGAGAGCTCCAATAAGTCGTTCTGCGCCACCGACACACGCTCTGCTCGAGCCGATAAGTACTCACCCAGCGACGAAAATCGCAACCCGGATAACGCTATACGCGGGTGCTCCACACTGCCAGCGCCGCTCTGGTATCCTGCATTCAGTGATACCGTTGCACCAAAAGGTGCCGATGCAACCAGCAGAAAGCGCTGAAAGTCAGCACTGTGATGCATCACCGCGTACAGGACGCGCAGCACACTGCACAGCACAGGCCGCTCGAGCTCCTTCCAAGCTGCAAAGTACTTGACAAACACGGGAGCGAGCGCGACCACCGACACGTCGCCCGACAGCATTTTCCCCATGACATCGTACAGTTCTTTAGCCCGATCCGTAGCTGCTGTTTTCTGCAGTGCTTGTGTGGTCTCCAGGAGCTCAGTACTCGGCATCGACGACGCCTGAGGAGCTATTGGCCTCGTCGTCACCTGCGAAAAGACACTCTGTGAGAAGACGAGACCAGCGCTCGCCCCACCAGTAGCGCACGTAGGAGAGCACTGTAGCGACTCGTTCGACGACGAGTGCCCCAAAGAGCTCTGGAGAAACTGCGTCGGCGACGAGCTACTGCTGTTGCTGTTGTTGCTGTGTGGATTCTTCCGTCCAGAACTCTTCTGCGACGTGTGTCGCTCATTAACAGCCCCGTCTTGTGCCCGCTCCGCCGCCAGTGCGCCATGCAGCAGCGTCAGGAGATCCCGCGACGGTCCTGTCAACAGACGCGACACCACTCGCGCGTTCGATGCCTTGAGAACCGCCCGACTGCTTCTGCTGCTGTCGCTTTCCCGCGCCTCGTGCAGGTCCAACTCGGTCTGGACACCAGTGTCGGCCACCGACACACTCAGCTGCTGCTGCAGCTGCTGAGACAACGGCGTCGTCGCTGTCGACGTCTGACTCGCCGGTATTGCGGTCACTTGTTTGCGCCGCTTCGTCGCGCGCAGCCGCCGCTCGGCGTCGCGCCGCTTGGCCTCGACCAGCTGCTTCTGCTGCAGCGCTTCGACCTCTCTGGTCGCGCGCTGCTTGACGCGCTCGACGGTCTGCAGCTTCTCCGACAAGAACGCGAGCTCCGACTCAAGCGCTGTCACTTGGATCTGCATCGCTCGCTCCCGCTTGTCGCTCTCGAGCCGCGTCTCGGTCTCGAACAGCGCCATGCTCGCGCGCAGGTCAAAGTTCTCCTCCTCGACGTCCTCGAGCTTCGCCCGCAAGAGCTGCAGCAGGCCGTCCACCTGTCCCTTCTCGCCCTGTAGGTGCTGCATCGCTGCACGCAGCGCCTGCGCACTGTCTCCGCTGTTGCTGTCGTCGTTTCCGTTTCCGTTGCCGTTGGCAGTGCGCGGCGCGGTCGCCATGTTGCTCTTCCAGTGCGGACTCGGTGGGCACTCAGTGCGGAGTTGCACGGACCATCACTCTGGCAGTGCGCATTCTGAGCATACAAACATCAAGTGAGCGCGCGCCTCCGAAACGCCGAGTCCCGTCCGTCACTTTTGCAAACATGGAGCTGACCGACGCCATGAAGCGCGAGACGACAGCGGCGGCGCTCGACGGCCACCGCGCGCCGCCGTCTTCAGGCCACGACGACGACAACGGCGACGCGTCGACGCGCCGCACGCGTCCGCTCTTTAGCGAGTTCTACGACGACTGGGCCTCGTTTGACGCGGCGATCGCGCGCGCGACGGCGGCGCATCACCCGATCCGCAAGCGCTCGTCGCTGACGTTTGAAGTGTACAACCGCACGGTGTCAAAGGGGCGCCACGACCGCAAGAGCATTGCCGACTTTCTGTCCAAGACGTTCAAGTGCACGCACGGCATCAAGTTCCGCTCGCGCGGCAGCGGCAAACGCATGCGCCACAAGCTGCGGGACATTGGCTGTCCGTTCCACGTGTACGCGTCAGCCGTGGAGTTTGGCCCGACGTACCGCGTGAAGGTGCGCATGCACGACCAGCACAACCACCCGATTGGCCCCGACTCGATGAAGATGATGAGCGGGACGCTGCACGAGTCGGACTACGAGCTGGCGACGACGCACGACCCCCGAGAGCCGCCGAGTCTAGTGGATGCAGGTGCCGAAGCTGCTGCTGCTGTTGCTGCTGGTGGTGGAGCTGCTACTGTTGTTGCTGGTGAAGAGCTTGGGACGGACCGCGTGCTGGTGCCGGACGAGCACTCGACCGAAGCGGCGGAGGCAGTGCACGCGGCGTACGAGACGCAGATGCAGAATCAGATGGCAGATGCCGAGGCGCGAGACGCTCAGGAACGAGCACATACCGAGGCAGACGCTCGGACGCAGGTGTATGATCACTACGATGACGCGCACGAGCTGCTGGACGGTGAGGAGGAGAAGGAGACTGAGGTCGTTGCTGTGGCGACGATAACGACAGAGGAGGAAGGACAGGTTTCGCAGCCTCGATCGCAGACGGCAGTCGTCGAGGCAGAGCCGCCGTCTCAAGTCGTCGACGCAGCCGATACTCTGAGCAGTAGTGGCCATGACAGTGAGACGTTACTGGACCGTGCGATGGCAGACGACGACGTGTTTGCCGGTTCAGCTGCAGCTTCGACGAGCGACGGTGGTGCTGTTACTGTGGCAGTGAACAGCACGATCCAAGCGGTGGACTTTGATGACGGCGAAGCGTCTCCTGCTAAGTTTGAACCGACAATGACGCTTGAAGGGCTACGTAAACGCGTGGCAGAGTTTGCGGACGAACGGGACTGGAATCAGGTACACCGTTTGCTGCTCGCTTTGGTGCTTTCTTCTTACCTGCTAAGCACTGAAAGTACTGACCATGTGGTGTGACACTTGACGGTGGGGATTGCAATGGCTAGTTCCACACGCCTCGAAATTTGTTGCTGGCTCTTACCAGTGAAGTAGGCGAGCTGTGCGAGATCTTCCAGTGGAAGGGGGAGGTCAAGAATACGGAAGGTGGGAACTCGATAACGTGCGTCGTGGAGCTTGTGACTTGTTGTTGTAAACTCTTGTTGTTGTTGTTGTTGTCGGTGGTGGTTTCGTATAGACTGGTCAGCCCGAGACAAAGAGCATCTTGGCGAGGAGATTAGCGATGTGTTGATTTATCTAGTGCGGCTCGCCGACAAGTGCGATGTTGATCTGGCCGCTGCCTTAAGCGATAAGATCGCCAAGAATGCTCAAAAATATCCTGCCGAGTTGGTGCGAGCCCGCGCTTTCTCTTCCCGAGACAGGTACTGAGTAGTGGTCTGCACAAAGTGGCTAACAGCTTGTGCGTTTCTTGGATGGACTGCAGGTCAGAGGATCGTCAAAGAAGTACAATGAGTACAAACGGATGCGTATATCGGAGGAGTCGACGTTGTAACGAATAGAGGGACCGAAAAAATGAAGACGCATGTTTTGACCCAGAGCGGTTGTTCCAAAAGGTCCACGCGCCGCCAGCATGAGATCGCTCACCGACCAAGACGACCCGCACGCACTATACAAAGCAGTGAGTGCACCACGACAAAGGTGCGCAGTGCATCCAGCTCTATTGAGTTTGCATGCAGCCCATCGCCATCTAACCTTCCACAGGCAAATCACTCAGCGTCGAGCGAGCCACTGCTGCATCATCCTACGCGGCAAGAGAGCGCTATCATCTGACGTCTTCTGGCAGCCATGCAACCGCCACGCCCGGCCGCAGCCTCCACAGCATGGTCCAGCTTTGCACCGCCAGCGACTGCTCTCGTCCCTCCTGTCTACTCTGTAGCAACCTAATCTTCCGGCGCGTCGCCGTCAACGAGGCGGTTCTCGTTCTCGAGCTTCTCAATCATCTGCAGGAACTCCTTCTCCTCGTTCACACTCACCACCTTGGGCTCCATCTTGACCGACATGGTGCCCTTCTTGGCTGTAATGTGCTCCCGCACGCTCTCAATGGCTTCCTGGAGCTTCTGGATGCCCTTCTGCTTGTCCAGCGTGCTCGTCGTCATGACGTACATTGGCGGCGCGATCAACTTGACTTTGACCGGCACGTCTTCCGTGCCGACGTCTTGACCTGCTTGAAGAGCCGACCGGACGGCCTCAATGCCTTCGTACGTAAAGCACGTGACCTCAATGTCCGCACGCACTTTGATCGGCTGCGGCGTCAGTCGACGACGGATCTGCGCCTTCAGCGCCGTCAAGATCTCGGGCGCAATGTCCAGCGCTTCAAACACCGCGTCGTCGGTAATGCCCATCTTGAACACGTCAAAGCAGTGCACGTACTCGATCTTCTTCTCGTCGTCGTTCACGGTCTCAATCTTAAACTTCTTGTAGAGCGGCCACGCGACTTGGGCGTAGAGCGCTTCAATGCCCAAGTGGTTCTCCTGCGCCACTTGCCGCAGCACGCCGTGCACGGTCTTGGCCTTGTTGTAGCGCTCTTCGCACTTGGCAATGTCTTCGGGCGACACGCGGCGCTTGGACAGGTCAATGTACCCCTTCTCCTTGTCCACGCGGAGCACCATCACGACCTCGTTCTTGCCGACGCGGATGAGCTTATTGATCGACCGGATGCGGCGCCGCGAGAGCTCCGACAGCAGGATCATACCCTCAATGTTGTTGTACTCGAGCAGCGACACGTACGCGCCCATCTCGGCGATCGACCGCACGTTCACCATCACGAGCTCGTCGATCTCGGGGAACTTTTGCTCGTAGAAACGGCACTGCAGGTGCATAATCTCCTGCGACTGCGACGTCTCTTCGCCCGGCGCAGCATTGACAGCGCTCGGCGTGGGGGGCAACTCGGCCATTGGCTTCAGTCGACAAGAGAGAGAGAGAGAGAGAGAGAGAGAGAGACGAGAAACAGACGGACGCGTTGGGGTACGAGAGGAGACTTTGCTCGCACGGGACTGGATCGGGACTAGTGGCCAAATAGAGTCTCGCCCCACCAGACAATGTTTCGCGTATGTGGTGCACACAGACACACACGGCCGGAGCGAGTGGGGGACAGATTCGATACATCAGATGTACCCAAAATCAACACACAGAGCGACTTGCCAGTGTGGAAACAAACCACTGCCGGACAGGCAGATGGGTACACTCTCAATAGTGATCGACAAGTCAATTCTCGGTCGTACAAGATCGCTGCTACGGTTCGTGCGTTGGCGCTCCTGTATTCGACTGGGTATCGAGTCAATCTCAAGCTGGAAGTACCCCATGATTCTCGTTCTCCGTCTTGATCGGTGCGGTTTGCACGCACTCGGCGGTAGTCACAGCACTAGTCTGCTACCAGTAGTCAGCCAATGCCTACACGTTGATCACTCGCGCGAGCTTCTGGATCCGGTTGAGCAGCAGGTCGCCCTTCTTGATCGCTTCCTGGTACTGCGCGTTCTTGGCATCAGGACGGTTGGTCTCGATCACGCCAGCCACCTTGTCGATCTTGGCGTTCAGTCGACCAGCAGCGATGAACCGGGCAAGCTCCGTGTCGAGGAAGTCCACGCTCACGCCAAAAGCGGCTGCCATGGATGCAATCGTCACGCTGCGGTAAGCCTCCAAGAACTGCGCGTACGCGAGCACACGCAGCTCGCGGTACAAGTAGCGAGCGTGCGTCGAGAGGTACTTGTCGCGCAAGATGGACGGCTGGAGGTCGACCATTGCAGTAAAGAACTGCTTGTAGTTGCAGTCGTAGACGCCGCTCAGAAACTCGGCAAGGAACGGAACCTCCTTGATCACTGCGAGGATCTTGGGCGAGTCGACAATCTTTTTCTTCAACTCCACGCGACTCATGCCAAGCACGCACGTGATGACACAGTAGAACACCATGGTGTTGTACGGCATCAACTCGGTCGCCGTGAACGTCGCCACGGACTCTTGAAACAGCTTCGACGCCTTCTTCAAGTCGCGTGCCATCAGCAAGTAGCACCCTTCGTACACTTTCAACCGATTGCGTCGGTCCCAGTCCCCGCCCTCGTCAATCAACCTGCACCACAACAAATACAAGTCCATCATCACCATCGTCATCATCATCAATACAAGACGTCCACACGGTTCCTCGAAAGCAGGTCCAGGCACCAGCACATACACATCCATACAGGCTGCGACGGATCCCCACGTAGGTACACGTACACAGTGGCTTTCTTGATGTTCGTTTCGACCAGGTCCAGGTCGGAAAAGAACAGACCAATGCGAATGACGTGCAGCGTAACGAGGATCTTCTGGTTGATCGACTGCGGCTTCTCGCCGGCCACGGCAAACGCCTCGAGCGCTCTGTCCTTGTCGCCAATGCGCGAGAACAGACGCGCTTTGGCCAAGAGCGCCTCAAGCACCTCAATGTCGCCCAAGTTCTGCTCGGCGTCGGCCAACCGGTCGTTCAGTTGCGCCAACTCGCGCGCGTTCGTCGTCTGCATGTCGGCCTCAAGCGCAGCGTCGAGTGGCCACTGGAACAGGTCGCACACGCGCCGATAGAACGGCGCCATCGCGTGCTGGCGCATGAGGTCCAAGAGCTGCTGCTGCACGGCGGGGTCGACGGCGCTTGTTGCGTGCTGGTGCTGCAGCAAAAAGAGCAGCTGGCTCAGCTCCATGTGCGGCAGCGTACTGAGGTCGTCTTCGATCTCTTCGGAGATGTTGCCGACGCTCGTGGGCTTTGGCGTTGCGGTCGTCATGGCGGCGACAGGTCCTGTGTTTTCGGTGGGCGAGTGGGCCAAAGTGGCTACACACCCAATCGACAGCGAGCTGGAAACAGGGAACCAAACGAGAGGATCCAGGAGGTCCCTGTGGAAACCGATATGGAGCAGGGCAGCATGTTGGAGAGGATACAGTCGGGCCCGCGGGCGACAGCGAGCGGTGGGCACCGCGCGGTCGACAAACGCACGGGGTACAATTGCGAGGCAACAATGTTGTGGAGCCACTTGCCAAGTGGAGAGCGATCGATACAGTTGGCAGCCGTCTCTTGACAATGCGACTGCGATACATGTACCGTGGCACACCCGATGCCGACCACTACAACGTGCGCGGCAGTTGCGTCGCGCGCTTTGTTGCATGCGCTGCTGCTGCACTTGCTGCCGCTTCCTTGTGCATCTAAATGGCTGGCGCGTAGAGCACGTACACAGCGCCAAACTGCTCTCTCGGTGGACCAAGCGACACGCCCGTCTCAGCATCAAGACGGCGTTCAATCTGTTTCAGCTGCTCGAGCGTCTGGTCCTTCAAGTGATACGCTTGCCCAAACTTGATCGTGACCTTGACCTTGTGGCCCTTGTTCAAGAACCGCTTGAGCTGCTCGACCTTCATCGTCAAGTCATTTGGCTGCACGATCCAACACACGCCGGCAAGTCAGTCAGTCAGTCAGTCAGTCAGTCAGTCAGTCAGTCAGTCAGTCAGTCAGTCAGTCAGTCAGTCAGTCAGTCAGTTGTCAGGGAACCCCCCTGCACGAAGCAGCAACCGCACACCACGCAACCGCACACCGCGCAATAGACTCACGGCAATCTTGGCACCAATGACGACCTCCTTGTCTGGCCTGGGCTTTTGCTGCTTGACCGCCTTCTTGTTGGCCTTCTTGAGCTCATACAGCCGCTTCTTCGCGTCAAACAGTCGGCACACTGCTGGGAACTTGCCCACAGCTGACACCTGCACGAGGTCAACGCCCTGGCTCTGGGCGTCTTCCAGTGCCTGGCGCAGAGGAACGTCCGTGCGCTGCGACCCGTCGTCGTCGATGATCGTAACAACGCGCGCAGTAATGCGATCGTTTGTGAGGCCCCACTTGGACTCGGCCGCCGCAAAGCCACGTACAGCAAGCAGACACGACGGACTACGCGCTAGGGACCGCAGACACGGCACTGCGCGCGCAACCGCTGCAGCACGGGCACACGGACGCAACCAGCCGAGCATCGTCGCGCGCTATGGTCTCCGTTCGTCGGCACCGCGAGGAGCTCCGACGCTTGTGATTGGTGGAAGTCACAACCTGTTGTCCCCTGCTCGCTGCCGGAGAAAAAGCCCACGCGGTCTTTTCAGGCAGCGACGCATGCACTCTATCACCCATGCGCAAAAAAAACCGCACCCACACTGTTGATCCAGACGGTCCAAGAGCACTTGTCGCCACGTGATCCCACACTTTAAGAGCATTTGTGTAGGTTCGGTCTGCGTGCCAGTCAGTCATTGAGCTCCTCGATGCTCTTTGTGCCCGAAGACGCCGCGCGCTCGTCGTATCGCGGCTTTGTGCGCGTCCATCGACACGAGTTCGCGGTCCGCGTGTCGCATGTCGCACACGAAGCACGTGCGCGTCGTGTCGTGCTCACGGCGGCGCAATTGGACGTCGAGCGCGCGCTCGCCGTGCACTTGAAGCCACACTGTGCGACGCTAAAGGTGCGATTGGCTCAGGCGACGTCGTTAGCAGCTTTTGGCGCAGAACTCGAGGAAATTGTCGCCCTGTGCTGTCGACACGAGCAGCTCGAGGGGCCAGCAGAGCTCCCCAGTGCCGCGTACTACGCGAGACTGCTGGCAGAACTGGACGTGGTGGGCTGGCAATGTTTGCGTCAAGTGAGCGACGACGTGCGGTCGCTGGAGCTCGAGAGACACGACGCGAGAGGACGGGCGCATGGGATTCGAGTGCTGCTGCCATTGCAGTATGCAGATGAAGGCTTCCAGGGAACGCCCGAGTGCCTCGTCGACGCGCCGGAGCCCCTCGCGCTGCAGTGGCCACCGGATTGGGCCACGTACCCAACGAAAGTGCTCTTGGACGTTGTGCTGAAACAGTTTGAGCGCTTTCTCGACAAGTTCCAAGCGTTCTGGGATGCGCTCGATGCACTGGATGCTGCGACGTGTGTGCTCGAGCCGCAACGTCCGACGAGAGCGACAGGACGACGGAGAGTGGCTCTCGATCGACGGGCTTCGGTGCAATTTGAAGTGGACCCGTTGCGTCCTGCTGCAATGCCAAGTGAGCTCAGTTTCTTTGGGAGCCAAGTGAGTGTGGGCGTTCTGCGTGAGCTCTGGGGCAGCCGTGCGTGGAGCCGGTGGGACGAGTCGAGGTCGCTGCAGGCAAACTTAGAGGACGCACTGAATATCAAGCTGCCATCGCCAACGACGACAAAGCTCGAGGAACTCGCAGCAGAGTGTGGCATATGCTATGCGAATCGTCTGGAAGAAGAGGGTGACGAGACAAACGAGAAAGCCGAGCGAAGCTCTGGGCAGCGTGCGCTCAAATCCGAACAAGGGTCGTGCCTTCCAGACCGACTGTGCGAAAACGTAAAGTGCAATCGCCCGTTCCACGCCAAGTGCCTCTACGACTGGTTGCGGGCGTTGCCTACATCACGCCAGTCTTTCCACACTGTGTTTGGTGAGTGCCCGTACTGCCGGGACGCAATCAGTGCCAAGCTGGAGCCGGACTTCTAGATACAGCAGTGGATATGTTGCAACAACGCCACTGCGCGACCTGACAGCCGATGCGCCGGTTCTATGGCCAATGCTGGGCTAGTTCACCCCTGTATATTTTCTCCTCTTCGGCGCAAGCTATGCATGCGACAGCTTAGTCTACAGTCGGAGCTGCTCGGAATCACGACTACTTCAGCTGACTTGCGTCCGCGCACTGGATCATTCTGGATTGGAGATCGCTTGCTCGTCACGCACAATGTTGATGGAGCCGTCGGCGTTGACACGTATACGCTTGGACGGTTTACCAGTGTCAATGTCATCCTTTGTGCTGCGACGACGCTGGCGTCCTGCTGACTCCTCGCTACCTCCGATCTCACGGGCATCTCCTCCGTAAGGATGAGCGCGCGAGCGACCCCGTCGTGATGATCCATTGTTGCGGCCATTGCGTGGATGCATACTGCCAGCATCATGGCGACGGCTGCTGCGAGAGTGATACATGCCTTTCTTGGGCATCTTCTCAGGCGGAAAATCCTCGTCGGTTGCCTTGCGCAACAGCACTCGCCATTTCTTGTCACGAGGCTGCGTCTTGCTGCCAATTGCTTTGTTGCCCATGTACCACTGCGAGCGGTTGAACGCGTCATGCGGAATCTCGACTTCCTCTTCGCCGTCGTTCATTGCCGTAGCAGAATCAGCATCAGCGTGTGGCTCTGCATCCTCCATGTTGACGTCTTCCCCGGACGCCAGAGCGTCTCCAGCATTCGCCTTCTCCTTCTTCGTTTGCTCAAGAATTTGCGGTGGAACCTTTTGACCCAGAGCGATGAGCGCTCTAGCAGACGTGAAGTTGTCTTGGAAGACAATGGTGCACGAGCTGTCATTCAGCCACTCCACGTATGCCGGACCGTAGCCCACAAAGTACTCCATCACGTCGCTTGTACGGACTTCTTGGAACTTCTCATCCAGCGAATACATGTGCAGCGCATCATCACGAAATGCCACCGTTTGTCCTTCGGCTGCCTTTACATCCAAGCGCTCACGACCGACCTTCGCAGATGCAGGATGCAAGTCACTCGGCACCACTTGCGAACGATCTTCTGCAGCAGAAAGCCCATATTTCTGTGCACGAGCCCGCAACTTCTCCTGGTCGTGCTGCTTTTGGACCCACTCTTCCTGAGTCAGTCCTTGCTCGAGCGCCTTTGCCGTCTCAGCCGAGTAATTCACTGCAAACTGCGGCGTATCAAATCGCTTCATGCGCTGCTCGCGTTTACCCTGCTCTTTTTCACTGGTGATGTCAATACCTGTCGAGAAGCCAGGCACGACCGCACCCGTTCGCTGCAGCTTCCTCACGTCTCGTGGATCCATCACCGTCTTGATATCTGGCGGTACAAACGCAGTGCCAAAGCGATCTGCGCGTCGCTTTGACGCTTCGTACTCCGCCTCAAACTTCTGTCGCTGCTCCGCTGTCAGCAAGTCCTCTCTGCCCAGCGCGTCAGCACGCACCACAAGTCTTGGAGGAGGAAACGCCGACACATCGGCAGCTGCAAGAGCCTCCATCTGTCCTTCATAGACGCCGTGGACCTGAATGCCACGCAGAGACACGGGCGAGTCCCACGACGTGAACGCTGTCAGCGCCACAGGAACAAAGTCAGGGTCTCGACACGTCGCGAGGACGTCCTGGCCCACGTGAGGACCCACACCGACCGCCATCGACCCGTTCGTCAGCTCGACAACGATCCAGTAGGGCACAAAGTCCTGCGCTGAGCACGTGCGACCGGTAAACACCCGAGCGAGATCCACTTCTTTGCTGCGTCCAGAAGCCGCTTTGCGCCACACGACTTCGGTGTTGCCACTCAGTCCAATAGCCACTTCATAGGTCCATTCTGTGCGTACATTGTAACGCGTTTCCGCGCCCAGCGCAGCCGCTGAGCCGCTAACAGCGACGTCAGGAGAAGCAGCAAACCCGACGCGGAGATCTTCACGCGCAGAGCCTTCAAACTGGATCACTAGCGCACGCAGAGAAGCGGGAGACGGGTCAGTCGACGCCTCAAGCGGCGGCAGATCAGATGACAGTGTCGCACACGGCCGCCAGTGGCGGTAGCGCCCGTACAACGCGCCCAACTGGAGCTCCGACCGCGATGACGCGTCCGCGTCCATGACAGAGCAATGGTGTCAAAAAGAACAACCACACAAAACAACCCGTGGGTGCGTTTCGCGTGGTCCACACCATTCAGCAACTTTACCCTCCAGCGAGCTCACCAACCAACCCACCCAACGACATACGTGTGGTTCACTCCCACCCACCCACCCACCCAACGACATACGTGTGGTCCCCTCCACCCACCCAGACACACGACTGTCGCATCGATCGACATCGCGCTCGTATCACCCACGACATACAACCCACGACCCACGCGCCAGCCATTAGTACTGATATAAGTGCAGTCCTCCGCCCGTCGACAGCAGCTCCACAAGAAGAGATGGCCGACCAGCAGCTCCAAGAGGCTGTTGCGGCAATGGTCGACCGCCTCGACCGGCGCTTTCTACGTGCGTTGCAGCGCGACGGGTACCTCTGCGCGGCCAAAGCGTTCGAGCACACGGACTGGTCGTCCGAGCAGTTGACTGCGGCCGTCGAGCGCTGTCAGCGCCCGACGCAGCAGCTGAACCAGTTGATGCAGCAGGAGATGCAGCACTTCCAGAGCCGCGTGCAGCGCTGTGCGCAGGACTGTCAGGACAGGGCACAGGACGCTCTGCCTGCGCGTGGAACGCCCAGCGACGCGCAGGTCGCACGGGCGCAGAAGGACATGGACACGTGCGTGCGTCGCTGCGTCGACACGCACGTGGGGCTGCTGCCCAATCTAAGCGCCCGCATCGAGCAGGCGGTGACCCAAATTAAGGACCAAGCGCACTAAGCTGAGCATGTGGGTACATGTACCCCATCAGGCAGGCACGCACTTGCTGGGGGGGGGGGTATGGATACAGGAGGAACGAATGACTATTGCGAGAGAGAGAGGGTACGCAGCAGGGCCCTTGGCTGATATTTGACCAACTTGGGCTTCTTGTCACTGTCATTGCTGTTGCTGCTGTTGTTGTTGTTGTTGCTGTTCTTCTTGTTCTTCTTCATAGCGTACAAGTGCCGGTGACTGCATCGTGCGTGTCGTGTGTGAATATGGGGATCGATCTTCTACAGTGTGGTGAGCTCTCGCTCTCGCTCTTGGCACCTGACGTCTGTGACAGTGATCCCAGCGTGCGTACTTCTGGCGTCGATCGTCACAACTGGACGCGTCCTGCTGGAGCTGCGGGGCGCCCTCGTGGCATTGTCTCGGGCAGCCTGCTGGGCCATCTTCCTGGCCTCCACCTTGGCGCGCTGCTCTTGGCGTCGACGCAGCATCCACTCGTACGTGCCGTAGCCCAGTACCATGAGCCAGAGGTGGAAGCCCACGAGCACAACGTACATGAACATGCACGGGAGCGAGAGCACGGCGCACAGGATGCAACTCGCTTTGGCCACGTAGCCAAACACAGCGGCATCGGGCATCATCGGGTGGGCGTAGAGCCACCAGAGACACGCGACGGCGTACGCGACCTGCAGCCCAAATTGGACAGTGCCCGTGCACGCCACGGTGAAGAACTGGACGTAGTTGGCGCGGCCAATGCACGTCTGGAGCCACGTGCAGTGGTGGTCCATTCCCGGCACAGTCTTCCGGCACACGGCGCAGTACCGCGTTTTCGCCCATCGCGGACCACTGAGTCGACTCGACCACCAGCTGGTCGAAGGGTCGGCATGGATTGCAGGGTCAATGGTCTCACAGACGCGCCAGGAAGCCACGAGGACAGTCGAGTTGACAATGTGCACTGCAACGGCGACGACTGTCTACAGGAACAGAAGGCGTTCAAGCGAAAACAACCAGAAACGTCAGTTGGTCACTCGCTGCACGAGCTCTTCCTTTGGACACGAACCCCGTACCACTGTTAGCATGGACTTGCAACTGTTGCGGCGGCGGCTTGTGTCCGTATTGTCAGGCCCATTGCCTTGCCCGGTGCAACACAAGCAGAGACTAAGGGCGCCGAGAAAGAAGCACACGGCCGAGACCGAGTGCCCGATCCACGAGATCAGCTGGTCCCGTGAAAAAGGCCGCTCAAAGCCGTTGTGGCGCTGATGGCCTACGGCCGTACTCGGTGGGCCAGTGGAACTGGTCGTTCGGGGCGAGTGGTGCACTGGCAGCGACGAAGGAGACGCCGACGACACCTGAGATGGCGGCGGAGTGAGCGGTCGGGTCATGCAGGTCGCTCTGGCCAGGGAACGAGCCTATTGACTATGGACCGAGTGCGCGATGGATTGACCAAGTGAGGATGTGTGTGTGTATGTGTGCGCGACCTATTTGTGGCGTGTTGGCAACTGTGGATAAAAGCCATTTTTTTATCGAAAGGGTTTTTTCGCGCGTGTGACAATACTTTTTCTTGTCCATGTCGGAGGGGTCGGGTAAACGTAGAAGAGAGGGAGTATTCTCTTATGGAGAATAGTATGACCCGCGCAGGGTCGCAAGCGAATACGCAGTTTGCATGCAAGCGTTCTCTCTGCAGCATAGTACCTGAAACGTGCTTCACCTCCAGTGACTGACTGTTGCGAAATTCACACGGTAATCGGATGGTCTTCGATCGGTATATCGGTGCAGCGAAGTAGAAGGTCCACAAGTGTCAAACAGTCGGCTGAAAAGGTAGGGCAGCAAACCTATCGCTAAAGAGGGGGACCAGAGGAGAGCGCGGGGATGAGGCTTTTGGCTCGGCACCTCCAGTTGTTATAGGTCGAAAGGAATGGCTTTCGAAGGCGGGTCAGCTAGTCGCGCCCATGTCGCCGACACTTCATATGTGATATGCTCGAGATCGTTGAAGCCATTTTGCCATAATAACGCAGAGGCCAATCCGGACAACATGTCCACGAGATGTCGAGCATAATATTTGTATTTCCCGATCCCTTCGAGCGTCACGAGTCCATCAAATGATCACATACAGTATGAACTACTCACACGTCAACGGATCGTAGAGGCAAAGCAGCACACTGCAAACCGCAGCTGAGACCAAGTGGGACGACGTATATGCATTACGTCTTTGTCCTTACGTGCTTAATCCCATCTATTCCACACACACACACCTTTTTGTATCGCCAGTGGCCAACCCACACATACGTACGTACGTAGACGTTCCATTAGATCATCACGAGTCACACGTTGCAGCGAGCAGGCAGTGTCCCTGCCAGCGTTTCGTATAGTACGAGTTGATCCGTCGTCCCGCCTCGCGCAAGCGTTTCCACTCCATCTGCTTCTTCTTCGGAAGCTCAGGTAAGAGATTCCGCTGCATGTCGTGGTCTTTATCGACGTCGTGGAGTAGAGCTGAGTCCGTCATGCGGTCATACCGCAACCGATCGTGTCCACGCACCAGTGACATTTTCCGCGCAGGGTCGTTGCTGTACACCACGCGCTGGCCAAAGCCGATCTTGCGCTTGAGCGAGCGGCCCACGCCCGTTTGATTGAACCCGCCTTTCGGGACGCCCGTGATGTCGGCCAGTGTGTTGAGGATATCGTACTGCTCCGTGGCGTCGTCCAAGACCAATCCCGCAGCTTTACCCAGTCGCCCTTCGGCCACAATAGCCCCAGCCACGCGCATGGCCGACACTTCTCGAGCCTGGGGAACGTCATTGCCAACCTCTGGGCCCTGGCCATGATCACCAGAGATCACGACAATCGTGTCGTTGAGAACGCCTGCGGCAGCCATTCGGTCCATGAACTTGCCAAACTCCATGTCCGTAAAGTACCGGATCTCGAGGTAGTTCTTGATGTTCGCCGCGTGCTTGAGGCCTTTGTACAGCGGCGAGAAGTCGGGCTTGGCCGACTGGTTGTACCATCGCGGTCGCGACATGTAGTTCACGTGGCTCGAGATGGTATAGTGCGTCAGGAACATGGGCTTCTTCTTCTTGCCGTGGGTCACGCGACGCGCTTGGGCCTTTGTCTTGTTGATCATGAGGTCGCCGAGGACCTGGAAGCTCACGTCGTCGTGCACGCCCCAGCCGAACGCACGGTGCGCTCGACCTGACCAGTCTCGGCGTTTGATGCTATAGTCCCTCTCGGCGATCAGCTTCATTTCATTGCTACTCCACACCGAGTCGAAGCCATGTTGAGGAAGGAAGGAGTCCCAACTGTCGTAGTTGGTGCGGCAGCCAGTACTGAAGACGGTCTCGTACCCCTTTGCCGAGAAGAGCTGCGGCAGGCCAGCTAGCTTGGTTTCGTACTGGCCTCCAGTCATCCCCGACTTGGTCACGTGGTCGTACGGCAGCTGTCCGAACAGCAGACTCTCCACTGATCGACTCGTGCGCCAGCTCGACCAGTGGTTCCGCAGTCCAATGCCTCGCTGTGCCCATCGGTCAAAGTTGGGCGTGACCGTGACGTTCGTCGTGCCCCGGAACAGGTTCGACGGGTCGTCTTTGCCAACGAGATAGCGCGAGTCGTGGAACCGGAAGCTCTCGATCACCAGCAGCAGCACATTCGGCGGGTCCTTTGCGCTCACCTTCACGTCAAACGCCAGGTCTCCTCGGAACCCCGTCGTGCGTCGGTACAACGTGTCGTTCCCGTACAACTTGTGCTTCTCCGTTGCCCGGTGGATGAACGTCTCGGCCCAGGGCAGCTTCCCGTCGTCCAGCAACGAGTAATCGCCGTCCAGCGCTGGCTGCAGAGACCGTCCGAGCATCTCGTTCAGCGTCGTGTTGAGCGCCAGATACGCCACGAGGGGCGAACAGACGGAGCTCACTGCAACCGCAGCAATAGACAGCAGCGTCAACCCCATGAGTGCAACGAGAGTCTGCTTGTACATCTGGCACTTCCCAGCTCGCGGCAGCTTGTGCTTGTTCACGGACAGCATCTGCGCCGTATCATCATCGTCGTCGTCCTCCTCTTCCTCCCCCTCCCGCACAGCATCTTCAGCATCAGCGCTATGACTGACGTCGTCAATCTCAACCGTCACATACCGAGAAGTCCCATCGCTACCCACGTCCACCACTTTGGCTGCACTATCCCGCGCAGCAGCTTCACTCAAATCCCGACGACGTTCAGCGCTCCAAACGTGACCATCCTCTGCAGCAGTGTCTTCACTGGAGCGTACGCTGTCGTACGTGTACGCAGCGTCCGACCACATCTGCGTCGGGTTCCACCGCGCAAGGTCCGTCCACGACTCGAGTGTCCGCACGAGCGCAAAGCACGAGGCCGCCACGACGATCACAGTGGCATTGGCGTACGCATTGTGCAGCTGCTCCGGCGACACGTCGAACGAGCTGACGCTGTCCTTCTCCTGAATGGCCATCACAATGAGGTCGAACGTGAAGCGCATGTCCCGCAGCTGCACGACCACAACGTCGGCGACGAACGGCAGCATCGTCGCCATGAACAGCGTCCACGACGTGGCGAACGTCGCGAGCGAAGTCACTGTGCGGACCGCTGCGGCGCTGTCCGTGCGATGGTCGACGTGCGCGACGGCCACAGCACTGCGGACGCTGTCGGCGGCCCACAAGAGACAGACAAAGTACGTCACGCAGACAAAGTCTTCCAGGGCCCCGAGCAGCAGTGCGCCCAGGAGGACCGCTAGGGTTCCGTCAGTAGCGTCGGCGTACATCTCCATCAGCGCGCTGAGCGCCGAGCACCGGTAGGCAAAGAGGAACACGAGCGAGTAGACGTAGACAAAGGCCCAGCCGAGCCACGGCCAGTCCTGCGCGGCGCTCGTTCGGACCGCGCGACTTTTGCCCACGATGTTGCACCACGTCGTGCTGCTGGTCGGTGCAGTCGCATCGACGCGGGCGGCGGCAGCGGTCGGGGCTGCCCCGTGCGACTCTGTTGCGTCCTGTAAGGTCGAGTGCATTGTATTGATGCAGTGACTCGACTGTGGACCCCGTGGGGAATGAGCTGCTCAGCTGATGGATCGATCGACCGGACAGGGGATCGATAATACCCAAAGGGGTATGCGGTCAAATGCCAAGTGAACAACTGCCTTTCGACTGCCTTTCGACTGACTGTCTGTTTGTCTGTCTGTCTGTCTGTGGTCGAGCAAATGCAAAAGTGACGCGACTCGGTGGGGGGTCGTCGCGTGACTAATGTTATTGAGTTGTTTGGTGCGACTTGTGGATCGCACGGCCAAAGGACAGTCAGTGGACGACCGGTGGAAGGGCCAGGAGCTACCAGGAGCTACGTACAGCGCGTTCATTGGCTGTTCATCGCGGGCACCGGTCGTCGCGTTGTCCGGGCAACAGGCGGCGGCGCTAATCTTCCAGAGGCGATCGATCCCGCGTGGGGATCGACGAGTGCCAAGCGACTGCTTGTTGTTGTTGTGTCCGGTGTCCTCGATCGGATCGAAAAGAGCGCGAGAAAGCCAGCGCAGTGTACGGACGTAGCAGGTGACAAAGGGACACCTCCTGTATGTCTCCTGTTTTGTTTCCAAGCAGTCGGGTGTCGACGGGAGCTCGCGACTCTGTGGAGGCGGACCGAACGGGGCGAACGAGAGACCGAATCCTGACGCACTGCGACGATCCCATGCGCACGACTTTTCGTCCCGGCTCGCTCTCGTACGCAGACTGGAGCTCCCGATCAGATGACGTGTGGGTTCGCTTTGTCGCCGATGGTCTGCCTGGACGGCGTTTCTGCTGCGTTGTCGAGACATGTCGAGGGCATCTTATGACGAGGTAAAGCATAGGGAAAGTCTTGTCGGCTGCGGACGCTGTCTGTCACCTGCCGTGCCGTGTCCCTCCGAGGCTCGAAAGAAAGAAACGAGAGCGTGTCGTGTCGTGTCGTGTCGAACTCGAGCACGTGGGTGGGACTCGACCGTGAACACGCACCTCAGCACGTGACTGCGGGTGACCCACAAGAGCGATCGGCTATCATCCCACAACGCTACAGATTCCTCGCAATCGGTTCTTCGTGCACTGTCGACCAGCGCGAAGATGGCACCACGAGCATTGCGTCGCTGGATGTATATACATATACATATGCCCACCACACAACTCACTGGCGAAACATCCACACGCTTCGTTGGACGGTCCGGTATCGAGAGGCTGTCGTGACGGCCGCGGGTTGACGCGTCACCAGCTTCATCGAGAGTATCCGTGAAAGGCCGCACGTCCTCCTTGTGGCTGATCGAGCAGCAGTGAGTCTTGTCCAATTGCTTGACAGTCGCATCCGCCGGACGCTCGTGGAGAGACGCCTTTGTACTTGACAGGCGCTGTTTGTTGCCAAGAACGTGCACTCGTTCTTGGATCAGTCCAAGAAACGACGTCGCGCAGGCTGGTGAGAGAGATGAGCTCGACGCGACCAGGCGTCAGGTCAGCGAGGCTCGGACAATGGCGTCACGGTCTGCCTGTTCACGTCAAGTGCGTCGATCGGCGCGGGCACGTGTGATGATCGTGTGGGCAGCATTGGCGTGCGTGATGTATGCCGCTCGCCTCAGCCTCTGGACGTGCACGACATTACACAAGTGATCCCGAGAATGGGTTACATGGCGCGCGTATGACAAGAACGAAGGAGAAGCCCCATGCGGTTTGGACAGCACACGACTCAGGAACGACCTGTGTCTGTTCGCCACCGTCTGGAAACGTCAACAGCCACAACACAGAGTGTGCGTAGTTGCTACGAATTGTCAAAGCGCCACAGCGCAAAGGCCCAACACCAGCAGACAGCGCGTACCCACACGGAATCCAGGAACCAGTCGACAGAGTCGACGGTCCGTCGCACCCACCACAGCCGCAGTATCATTGTCGAGAAACGCCGAGACAGACCGCCGTCAATCGACGACGGATCAGAAGAAACGGCCTCGATCGTACCTGCTATGCCGCCGATCTTGACGTCCTGTTCTCGACCCCCTGTTACGACGAAGGAGCGACTCGAGTCAACGACATCCACAACCACAACCACAACAACAACAACAACAACAACGGCAGCGGATCACACGGACAGAGAGAGAGGTACAGCGACAAGTAGGGAAGTCAGCCGCATGCCTCAACTATCGCGCGCTCTCTTGTCATCGCTTGACGTAAAGAGACCAATTACCCACCGACGGCCGCGAACGACAAAGCAAAGGCGACACACGAAACAACAATGCAACCAACGACAGCAACGACGACAATGAGCTGGTAAACGTCGTGCTTCGCTAGTAAGTACCCCCCCCCACCCACACACACACTGTCCTCGAGCTACGTCGTTGTCTTCTTCGAGTCCAGCAACAGACTGTCCATGATGCTCGCCGAGACGTAGTCGGCGCCTCCTTCCACACTCTCCACGCGGGTCGCAAACTTGCCCTCTTCTTGCAGCTTCACTTCGGCCAGGGCCAAACTTGCTTCGACATTGCGTCGACTCGTGTCTTGCGCGCTGTACTCGGCCGTCGACGCTAGTGCGACACTCGAGCGACCTCCGTGCAGTGCCGTTGGTGCCGCGGGTACAGAGTGTGACACAGACGAGGGGGTCACTGTACCACTCGTACCCGCGTGGCCCCCGCGCTTGGATACTTTTCCAAGAGGCTCGAACGGCCGCCGCATTCGGCCCACGCTCGTGAGCTCCGAGCGGATGTCATTGAGCTCTTCGATCCCGCGCTGGAACTCGCGCTGGAGCTTGACGAGGTCGTTGTCCCTCGTCGCGTCAAAGAACTCGCTCTTGGCGCGGATGATCGCACCGATCGAGCGGCCCGTGTAGAGCCCTACGAAGCGCCCGAGTTTCGGCAGCTCCCGCCGGCCGAGCAGGAAACTGGCTGCAGTCACCGTCACGAACACTGTACCCCAGTGCACCATGGCCGAATGACGACTGCGGCGCGAGGTGGATACAATAGAAGGGGTGTGGTGGGTGGTAAGGTAGCCAGTGGGTACTTAGACGAGACTTGTCGACTTGAGTCGATTGTTGTCGACTCGTTGTCGACAAGTGGGTGGACGACGGATGGATAAGTTGACGGACAGTAAAAACATCCGGTTTTCGTCTGAGTCGAGGGGAGGTGGCTGGTTCCTGAAAAGGAGAAGAAAAAGTAGTACTGTTGTGGAATATAAAAGTATGTCGTATCTGTAGGTGGTAAAGTCTAACAAAAGAGCGAGATGTATCTTACGCACGTAAAAGCTGAGTATCTGTCGAACACTGAACAGGGCACGTGCAAGCCAAGAGACAACCGAGTCGTCAGTTTTTTTTGTCGCGACTCGATCAACTTGACCGTCGTGGGACTTTTAGCAGCACAATAGACATTGTATCTGACCGGGTAGTTGTAGCTGCTTTTGCGCAGCGCACCTGTTCAAAAGAGAACTGCATTCATTGGCGTTGGCAAAAGGATGCACACAGTGCGTGCTCTGATAAGCGTTGGATGCAGGACGAAGGACGAAAGATAACGGATGGGACGAACGTCACCACCTAAAAAGCTCAAAGCAATTGCGATGTTGTTAGATGTGGTAAATGGGACCACACGAAGAACGAATATTACCACAGACACGAGGTCGAGAGGAAACAGCTCATGTCTTGTAGGGGTGTATCGGTGCGACAAAGGACGTGTCGGTAAAGGTCGCAAGACGCCGAAGTACCGAAGTGCGAAAGCCTGTGGTCGACTAAACTCGGTCTTCATGCATGCCCATGTATCCCACCTGGCCGTCGAAATCGTGTACTGCGTCAACCCATCAGAGACCAAAGGTCGAAACACGATGTCGACTGTGAAATTGCGCGAGCGTGGCGTAATTTGACCAGATTGCAATCTGGACTGCTCGTTCAGACAACTTGTGTCGCTAGAGGTTGCTATCCTCCCATGACGTCTTTGCACGCGCTGGCATCATAACAAGACCTTCGTGACATCGACAGCTGACAGATGTTGACAGAACTATGACAGCGCAAGACTCCGATTCATCTTTCCAGTAGAGGTTGTATACGGTAAGCTTGATCTTGCTTTCCCCGCATTCCTTCCACGTGAAGCAGATCATTTACTCTGTCGATCTACAACGCTGCAGGTGATGCACGGCCAACGTGGTTCTTGAGCTTGCTGGAGTCGACGAAATGATCGAGCAGCACCACGTACCAACCATGAGAAACAAACACACATTTGTCTCCCATGCTGCGTTGAATCGAGACGTATGTCCACCGTGTGAAGATGCAGACAAACTCCAATGACAACAATCCAATGCGGCTTCTTCTTTCTTTGCTTCAACTTGACAAGACTCGCGATCGCCGAGCTGATGCGAAGGCTTCTCATCATCATGTCTTCAAGCACAATGTGAGAGACCAGAGTCCTAGTGCCTCATTCCAAATAGCTACAGCTCGACTTGATGGCGCTGCATGTCGACGCCGATATTGCTGCGGATACTACGAGCGCTTCGAGTCAAAACCACCGATCTGCCGCCGATATGTCCCGCCAAAACGAAAGCCAGGTGACTTTCGAGCGCAACGCAGTCTTGACATATACGTCGTATCGGTACTCTCTAAAAAAACTGGACAAGCGCGCGAAGCCATACGCACCTCCTTGCCTTTCGTACATGCCGAGAACAACTACCATGCCGAGATCGAGTGTGACGCAATGCAGAACCGGGGACGGAACGCAGCTATACAGGTAGCGCGACTTGACAGGATGAGTGTTAGCGATGCAACAACATGCGTCGTGCTGTGAGTGTCCAAGCGTGACGAGCAACATTCTCGACAGTCGACACGCGCGCGTACGCGTGCAACCTAGCCGTCGTACCATCTGGCACAACAACTGGTACCTAGAGTATACTGCCGATTGCTTCGGCAATTCCGGCGCCAAGCATGGCAAACCCCACCGTCATCATTGCGCACAAGAAAAGATTGTGCAACCGATTGGTGCACGTCAACGGCTCATCCAGAAAGAGGCGGATGTGGAAAAGTGCTGGTAAGACGAAGGCTAGTAACGAGCAGCACGTCGACCCAACGAACGAGATGAATCGACCGAAATCTGGCAACGACAAATGCATGTCAGCAACAACGAAGCACATCCGCGAAAAGGCAGTCGACTTACCTGGAATCCCAGCCGCAAGTACAGCAGTGAACAAGACAATTCCCGCACGTAGAACGATCTCTTTTTTCTGGCTCGACGTTGGATCTTCCAGCGTATTGCTGCGAATCAACATTGGCTGCAGCACCTCAAAGACTGGAAACATCATCACGGGGTACGTGAAAAACAGTCCCAAGCACAGAAATACCTTGACAAGTGTGACCAAGCCACCGATGCCGTCGAAGTTAAGCGTGATGATAGCGTTCGTGTCATTGCCAAACGCGAGGTAGCCACAGATACCAAAAGTAGCGTACAGCGTAGTAACGATCACAACCGTGCTGACGAGTATCGGCGTGAAGTTCCGCTTGTTTTGCATTGAGTTTTCCAGCAGCAGCACCATCCCCACGCCTTCAAAACAGTAGCTCGTCACACCGAAGAAAAACGGCAAAGCGGACAACGCGCCGAGCACCTCAATGTCGTCGTGGTCATAGTCCATGTAGGACAGATCGATGTTGAGCACCACTAAGAGTCCGAGAATGCACATGCAATCTGCGAGCGCTGCGACGTAAGCCAGCTCTCTCATATGTCTCAGCAAAGACAATCCAATCAGTGGCGGTACACACACTGACACGATCAACTGCTTCGACACGCCCAGGAATTGCTGCGCATTCGAAGCAATGAAGATCAAATCTGACATCACCGTCAAAAGAAAACCCATACAAACAACGTGGGCAAAAATGACCGTGACAGTTGGAGCAGATAAAGGCACCTACAGGCAATGCAGAAGCCCATCTGAGAGAGCACTAGTGCCGTGTTCACAATGACCGAGCCAGCACGACCGATAGCAAAGTACCCGATCTCGCCGTACGTCGCAACGTGTATGCCTTGACGCTTGAGCTTGTACTTGCACTGCACAACGAGCATCATGGCGTAGGTACTGACGGCCGAGACACCGATCAACGTCACCAGACCCATCTACAGCAACCACTACATTGTCAGGGACCAACAACATTGTCATTCGACACAAGAGCCGCAGCCAAATCGTTGGCTCGTTTCGTACCACGATACCGGTCCGACGGAACGCATACGGAAGTCCCAACACGCCCGAGCCCAAAAACGCAATGCACGTATTCACAAACGTCTTGAGGTCACTGAGTCCAGATAAACACATGTGTTCAGCACGACCACGTCCACACAAATAGTCACGTTGGTCTGGTTGTTGTGTCCCCAACTTGTTGCACGAATGTACGGATCGTCGTCTTTTTCGTGTACGTACGAATTCAGGCGCACATCGTGGTCGTGCAATGCCGGAGCGTCGAGCCGCTTGGGCACAGAGATCACTGCGCTATCGCCCACGTCGTCGAGGCACACACTTAGTCGCGTGCTCGCCGTCGAGCACCGCACGGACAGGTCGTCCTCGTCGACGCACGTCTCCACGCCGGGCGCCTGCACGATAACTGACACAGCGCTGTGTTCAGAAGCCATTTGAGAAGTGTCGAGACGTTGTACGACCGGACACGACGGCGGGTTTGTACATAAAAAGGAGCTCGGACGATGATGGCTCGCAACATTTACGTCAAATACTTTTTTTTCCCACGTCAAATACTTTTTTTCCCACGTCAAATACTCTCAGAGCGCGAATGGACGACAGCGGGTACACAAACCAACAACCCGACGACGACAGCCACAGAGACGCCCGCCCGTCCGCGTGCGTTACCTACGCGCAACACTCGGCGAACATCCCCCCACTCCGTCATCCCCCGACCGAGCGACACAAAGATCGAGCGAGTCCGTGTGTGTGTGTGTGCGCGTGTGTGTACCCATGTCGGCCATGCTGCCAGCCCTCGGAGACAAAGCGCAGGCGCTGCGAGCGGCCGTGGACAGCAACCACATTGACGAAGCGACTGCGCTGCTCGCGCAGCTGAAAGTACGTGCATCGACTCGGCTCGTGCTCTGTCCACACTCGGGCAACACGCGCGCTTTGGCTTTGTACCCATCCTAACTACCCACCGCGTGCTTGTGCACTCTATTGCCTCTCTCTCTCTCGCGCGCGCAGATTGCGCTGACAACGCTACCGGCGCTGTCTCTATGTACCGTCAGCTCTTCCACGGCACAGCAGGAGCTCGAGCTCGCGCGTACGTGTGCAGCTCGACAGGCTGCGTTTGCTGCTGTTGCTCGCTCCTTTGCATACCCTCTGTGACTTTATATGTTGTGGGCGCTGGAATTGATGGTATCTCTGTCCCTGTCACTGCATGTGTGTATTCTGACAGGTCACGTGCTGGAAAGCGCGACGTTGTTGAGCATCTTGTGCGAAGACATGACTGCGTATGAGCGCAGTGTGCTGCAGCTCAAGGTCTACTACAGCAGTGGCCTGCAACCATCAGCTCTGCATTACCCGATCTTGGGGACCCGACTGCTGCAGCTGTTGGTCGAGAACCGTATGGCCGAGTTCCATAACGAGCTCGAGCTGTTGCCGGAACCGAGTCGGGAAGACCCGAATGTCGCGTTTGCGATCAAACTGGAGCAGTACTTGATGGAAGGCACGTACAACAAGGTGCTGGAGGCGCGCACGCACGTGCCGAACCCGTACTTTGCGTTTTTCCTGTCACAGCTGCTGCAAACAGTGCGTGAAAACATTGCAGACTGTGCGGAAGTCGCCTATCAGTGCCTCACGTTGGCCGACGCGCAAAAGATGCTCATTTTTGACTCGGCTGCGGAGCTTCGTGCGTACATTGAAGATGAAAAGACCGAGTGGGTGGTACGCGAAGGTCGAGTGTGGTTCAAGGCGCCGGAGAAATCGCTGAGTGCGTCGGATATTCCGTCGCTGAGATTAGTTGGCGAGACGCTGGCGTATGCGACGGAACTGGACCGTATCGTATAGGGAGAAAGCAGCAGCAGGTCGTGGCGTGAGGCAGCAGGACTGCATGCAGGAAGCAAGGAACAGAAGGCCGTGCGAGCGCGGCAGGAAAGACTCGAAAGATTTGGGTTTCCAGACGCAACGTGCAATAATACTGCAATGGTGCATTTCGCAACCTGGTCTTCCGACTTTACAACAACTCGTTCGACACATTTATTACCTTTTCTTCGCAGAAGCACTGCCGAGAACTTTGTCCAACCACACCTGCGTCTTAATGGGAAGCGTGGCGCGCGCCTCCCACAGCGCCACATCTTGGTTGATCCACTGAATCATGTAAATAACGTCTTTCGTTTGAGTGGTCACGTTGGTCACTTCCCTGCGTTCGTGAGCGACCTTAATCTGATACTGACACGCCCGTTTAGCGCGTTCACGCTCACGAAACATTTCGATGAGCCGCTGTGGAATATTTTCCTCCGGCTCCCACGTCAGTTCGTCGTAGCCTTCCCACTTGACAAGGTACAAATCTGATTCTTTCGGGCGCCGCACTCCACCTACTGACAGCAACGCACGTCCCTCTTTTACGCATAAAATGGCTTCTACGACGTACACGTCCTCTTCATTCAAATCAAAGAGGTCCGGGTCATCGTCAGTAGAAGAATCGTGCTCCTGCACCTCTTTCAACTCTTCCTCTCCTGCGTCATCACTATCTTCCTCCCCCTCATCGTCTTCATCGTCCTCTTCCTCACTATCATCCAAAATAATCGCAGAATCTGCAGAAGCTCCAGGCTTGCTGGGCTTTTCCATATTCTCATAAAACAAATACTTGGCTTCTGCCTCACAGACCCCTTTATTCGCTCGGGCCTGCACAGCACCTGCAGCAGGCTGCTGCTTTGTTGACGCCGCCTGACAAATAGGTTTCTTTTCTTCCCCATCCCCAACCGGTGCCTCTTTCGTCTGCTTTTGCTTTTTCGGCATCCGACCTTGGCTCGTTTCGTTTGACGACGGTGAAAAACGGGGACCATTACTCAAATCTGGTGCAAACTCAGCCTTTTCCAAAGCAGGAGGCTCTTCGTGAGCTTTCACTGCTGCCTCGTCTTTACCTGACTGGCGAACCATCTTGCCCTCATCCACGTGCGACGTGTGCTGTTTTTCATCCCGTTTTCGATCCTCAGCCGATGATTGCCGAGTGCTTCGTTTCTCAGCCGGCACGACACCATCGCGCGACTCAAATGAGCGTTTGCGACTCCATTTCTGCTTGCTCTTTGTCTCTGTCGCAGCATCCGACTGCATTTCATCCAAAATTTTGGCTACTTCCGCCGGTATACTTGCATTGTCGCCCTTATCGAGCTCAATCCACTTGGCGATCGCCTTGTACTTATTGCTACCGAACGCCACGTCCTGACACATCGGTAGCTTTCGAATCTTCTTCAGCATCAACTGATCGCGCACACTCCTCTCGTCTGCTTTTTTCTCGTTGGCACCAGCAGCCTTCACGCCCTCACCACGAGGCGACGCCATAGTCGTCAATGGCTCTTCCTTTCTCTTCTTCTCCTCCTCCTCCTCCTCCTCCTCCTTCTTCTCTTTTTTCTCCCTTTCCTTCTTCTTCTTTTTCTTTTGCTTCGTTTTGCTGCTCTTCTTTTCCGTCTCTACACTCACGAGAGCGCTCTTCCCCGAACGTGGGGAAGCACCTGAAGGACTATTTTTGCTCTTTTTCATTGGCGTCGCGATCGCAACCGCTTTCATTGCATCTCGTCGTTCCTTCGTTTCGAACTTCTCTACTACCTCTTTGCCTCCGCTAGCTTTCTCCTCTCGCTCTATCTTCTCTTTCTTCCTCTTTTCCTTCTCTTTCCGTCGCTCGAGCATCGCTCGGCGCTTCTCAAACACCTCTGTGACTTGGACCCACGTAATGCTGAGCGACTGCGTCTCCGTCTCGAGCTTCAGCGAGTCGGGAAGACGCGGCGCCTCCAGTAAGAGCTTCGCCAGGACGTGGTCCATGCCCAGGTGCATCTTGGCAAACAGCTCCATGTGCTTCGACCGCATGCCCGACCGCGTTGGGCGTCAAACGTTTCGGGCGTTGTGATTGGTCGAGATATCAAAGACGTATACGACGATGGGCGATTGCGTGGTGCACACGGCGTGTCGCACGGAATATCCACACACCCACACAAAGCAAGTGCCAGCACGTTCGGAGAGCATGAGGCAAGAACATACGAAGCATGAGGCAAGAACATACGAAGAATGAGGCAAGAAAGTGCGCAAAAGGATGTTAGAACATGTGACGAACTGCGCTCGTGCTTGTTCCCGTTGGAGGAGTTGTGGACGGGCGGTCAGGCAAATGCTCTGATTGATCCGAGATGGAGGCGCGTGGGCATGTATGGCGTTGGAGATTGCCGCTCGGGTCTTTACGTTGCGTGTTTGTGGTCATGTCGAGGTCGAGAGGACAAGCGACGGAGCAGACACACCACTTGAATATCGCGTGACAGCTGGCTTACTGAGTCGGCGGGCAGCTCCCAGCCGACTGCAAAAGAAATGCAGCAAATGGCACGAGTGGCCGAGTAGGAAGCATGGTCCGGTCGATGATACGGATAACGACGATAACGTGAGATGGAGCATTCGTTTTTCCTCCTTCACCAGCATTTGCACTGGAACGTTGTGCGCCCATTGACTGCTAATTGGCAGGTAAAGAGTGCACGGACGTATGCTCAAAAAGATAGAGGAAAGTCGTTCGACGTCAAGCCGAAGGTAGCTTCCGCAGCTTTTGCACGCGTTTGTATATACTAGTCGCAGACGCTCGTAAAAGAGTGGTTGAGTATGGCAGTCCAGTCGATGGGAAAATGTTGTTTCGGTCCAGTCCATCTCGACCAAAGCCATCGAAGTCCAAAGGGCCCAGCATATAAAAAGCAGACCACAAGAAAGGGGTCGCGTGCACGAGTGCATAGGACGTTCTACGCGACGGAAGAAAGTCGCGAAGTCAGTCCGATCAGAAAGTTTTTCTGTTTTAACTTACTCGTAATTACAAGAGTCAATGCGAACCGCCGTCGGAAAATCGTCGATGTCGTTCAGTGGTAGATTACATCGTGCTAGCCATGGATGCCGCCTGGTACGACAAACAACACCAACGCAAGATGAAGGTGCTGTGTCAGCATATCGAGTTGGTGTAGTATACCCGTGGTATTATGTCTGCAGTTTTGTACCTCGATTCGAAGCAGACCGACACGGCATTATGGCATTTTCACTTTTTTCGCAACTCGAATGCGGGGAAGGGACATCAAGTTGGGATACGGCGGCGATCGTGAACCAAAGGAACAAAAAGAGTCGAACAGCTTTGATTAAGGTCGAAACGTAACGGCTAGTACGCTCTGGATCAACAACAGAAGATAGAGTGACACTCGGAAGTACTCTACTGACTCGCAACAAATCTGTACTGCAGGCCAAATCATAAGATGAAACTTCATAGGGTTCAGCGCTAACGCGATGCCCAAAATTCATACTTGGTATCACATGATCATCAGATCGCCATATTGAAGCTCACTTTTAAAAATCGATCCTCGTCGACACTATACTCAACAAAAAACTGATCCTTGCTATGTCACCTTCAACATCAATTGATCTGACCCGGACCAACCACATGGCGCGTTTCGCTCCATCTTAGTGCGTCCACCACATTTGTATGCATGTCCGCGAGCATGCCACAGTCTGCGGTCATTAAGGATAACGAAATTAAGGTTAGTGTAATTAGACACAAACTCGGTGCGCGCGTCAATATGTCCAGCATCAGCTGATGATCTCAAAACGTTGAGTTTCTTACAAATGCTTGATTGTCCACTCTCAAAAATGGCGCCTGATCTTGATCCATCTCTTTCCAGATCTTACAGCCTCTGCAGATGATCGAGATACATCGAGACATAATCGACACAGCTGTGAGTTCAACCTCCATGGTCGAGAGCGATACACCAGTTTGGTGTGCACAACCCCCTCACCTGCATGTCAGTTGCTGTACCTAAATCACCCAGGACCGATCCCTGCCACCCTGACCGGCAACGGAATTTTCATCGTGATAAGCAACCACCTGCGCATCATCCAAGTTATCTTTCTAAGTACCACTGACCGACAGAATGCTGACTTTTCAAACAAGTATCCAATCATTTCTTGGCTATATTACGATCTGACGTCGTAGAATGCTTCATATTCGTCCTGCTTGATTTATGGCCCATTCGGCAATAATCGATGTGCAGGAGCATTCAATATGTGTGTCGATACACTCAACTTACTCTATGGGTCCTCTGCAAGTGATTTTCCGTGGAAGGCCCGATGTCATATTCGCTTTCCATCATCAACATAAGTTGAATAAGCATTTGTGGCGTCTCCAGGTTTCGTAAGTGCCTTCCAGATCATTCTTTACACAATTTTGGATACATCCTTTGCTAAAACTGGATGATCTGTATCAGTAGAAGATGCACTTTCAACATTTACGTACAAAATGAGGAGGGCTAGGAGGCTTAAATGGAAAGATACAGAATAGGAAAGATGATTTTAATGTGCACCATCAATTGATCTTGGATAAGGACGTATCTGTCAGACTACACATGCTAATGAGTATTCACAATTTTATGTCAAATGTGATTTGCGGATCTGATGTTTTCCACAATAAGCTTGTCTCGGTCGAATGTTCACTACAGCCGTTAAATAATTTGTATTTATTTCGATCACTAGCCTACTCCCGCTTAAAGTTTATAGAGCTTGTATGATCTCGACGCCACATTTGCGTCGCTATTGGCCGCGATATTAATTTTGATGTTCATCCTCGAGAACCTGTCGAGCATTTGTGTGCATATCGCAACGTGCCCATCTACACTGTCTCATTAACGAATCACTTCGGCAAATATATATTGATGTAAATGATGCGGACATTTGTCACAAACATCACACCCGGATTAGCACGTACACGACACGTAAGATGTCACATCTTGAGAGTATCGACGGAGCAGCCATGCCGGTCTGGATATGTTTCATTGAAAATTAGTCGGGGGTGTTTGACGTTATACAATATAATCAAGTCCTCCGCAGACAAAGTAGACAATTTACAAGTGAGTACAACAAGATTACCGAAAATCATATCATGCGAAGGTCAAATCGATATAAACGTTAGCTTTACAAGTTTACTAGCGCAAAGTATAGTAATTCATGAGATTGGCGCACGCTGAGTAGGGTTTATGGTGCTAAATTGCATTCTCAATCATAGAGCAAAGTGCATGTATCTTATAAAAATCGCACGTTAACCTATTTGCGGTTCCAAGTCGTCAATAAAGTCACAGATAATTTGTATAGTTGTTTCCATCTCAATTTATGCCATTTTGAATGTGTTGGAAGAAACAAAACATAATGCACAATAAACGGATTCTGTCGTCAGTTTTCATGGTGGTTTCCACATTTGTTATAAGCTAGATGCGATTGATATTCGAATTCAATTGATCGTTCGACTGCCAGTCTTTTACCTTTTGTTATACAATGTACTGTGTAGACGCACGAGATATAGAAAAAGTGCTAATCGGCGCTTTAAGGCTCGTAAAGGTTTGAATAAGATCACCATTGGGATAGAATATAAGCGAGCAGGCTCAAGAGTGTGATAAACGATGCTTTGCTTTGATGTATTGACAACTCGCTGATTGAATTTGCTGAACGGTATGAAGGAAGTCCAATCGTGATAGTATTAGACATGGTGGCAAATATAGCAAAATGAGTTGTCCTACCATCATCACGATGAAGTTACTAGTAGAACGCGCAGGCAAAAATAACGTCTTACTTAGATGCACGACGCACCTTTTTAGGTCAAATTAACATACCGGCCCCTATCCTGTGCTATAAATACGTAGTTTCTGGGTCATCGAAGAGTCTAAAAATAAAGGCATCTCTACGTCTAGTATATGATAATATTACATTCCACAATTTTAGTTTAGCATAACTTTTGTAGGCGTCATGCGATATCTACGCAGAGATATTTGCAGCACCAGGGCAAATGCTATTCCTCGATATGCATAAAGAAAACACAAAATCAAACTATCTGTTCATATCGATGATGTATCATATTTGACGCACATCCTTTTCTGGTCACATGAAAGCCAAACGTTTGCGATTATCGCATCTTCCTGCTTATTCGTTAAATTAGCTTTGAATGGAAAACAAGAAAAACGTCGATCTAATATTTACTTATACATACTAGACAAGCCACTACAGATCCTGCTAGCACACTCAAGAAAATTTATGATTATTGATATGATTTGTCGTGCGCAGAAAAAAATTGAAAGTCGTCAGACCGGTTAGGACATGTGAATACACAGTGAGCATAATGAGATAATTGCAACATACATTCAATTATTGAAGCTTGTAATAATACCCTTAAACTACGTGAATGACTTCCTACCATACGAAGATTTTCGGAATATGAGGCGTCCCCGTGTATTTGGACATAGTAGAGATTAATAACAACAATTTAAGCCCATTCGCGCCGTGTCACGCAAGTAATTATTTTTCGATAAAATGGCAAATATTGAAAATGTTATGCCGCTTGCCAACTGTGATGAAGTGGATCGAGAAGTGTAGACCGTACATCGCGCTGCGAATAATTATTAGTTTTGCCGTAGGTGAGAGCCCCGCAATGAGATGCACCACACACCGCGATCTCGTAAACTGCAATCCTGGACGATGTGATCTTGGCAGACGCGATCTTGGAGAATGCGATCTTAAGGAATGCGATCTTTGATGACGTGATCTTGGTTGAAATAATCTGAGGCGATGAGATCTCGTGCACCGCGATCTGTTAATGATAGGTCACGTAAATTTGGCGCAGATAATCGAAAACGATGTAAGATCGAATCCCGACAGCACAAAGCGATACGTGATTCCCATACTAACAAGCGGAATTGGGTTAGTCAGAGGTTTAGACTTTGGTTGGATAATATTACACTGAAATCGATTTACGTTTGAGTGCACAACTGTCTGTACTCTTTCCGGGTAGAATTGTATGGCCTCATGACGTCTGA